TGACCTTTAAAACTTTTTTTCAAAGGATTGCAAAAAAAAGAAATTCCCGATAGCATTATGGAAAATGGAAAAGCGTTCCCTTTGTTATGAAATCGACACATGGGTGAAAACTTTAAAACAAAGAAGAAACAAAAGCACACCAAATTCATTGTTTAACCATCTACCTCCTAAAATTTACAATAAACACTTCGAGGCACTTTTATAAGTTGGTTAAGGTTATTTTGATAATGATCAACACTTATAATCGTGTCTTAGATGGGCAGATTTCTTTTTTCTTCCCTAAAAGGTATTTTATTTTGCTCAATAATTTATTGAATTTGTATGTTTGCTCATTAAACATCAGGTAAGGCCTTGTGAATCAGAAACTTGAGTCCTGTTTGGTTTTTTCGAGCTAAGAAGAGGAAAGAGAGCAGACAAAATATTGTTTATCAAAAATGCAACAATCAGAGGCCGATACAAACATCGCAAAGACGCAAAGAATGCCTATTGCTCACCAAAAATGTACTTCCCATTTAACTTAGAAGAGATTCACTTGTTAGTTACCATGAACGCAAAACGATATTCAATAGCATGATCTAGTTAGTATACCATTAGCATAATGTGGGTGGCAAACTAAACCTCACACGTATCGTGCTATTCAATGTTTCTTCTTTGTTTCAAAAAATCTCCCCTGATGCTCATATTTAGACACATAGGAAGTTGTCTCCTTCTTCCTGTTATGACTGTGTTGTAGTAAACACTCCTTTAAGCGTCTTCGGGGAGGAAAGCCCTCTAACACTCGATAAAACCAAACAGAGGATAATTTAAATGTAATAACGAAACTTTGCCGTGAAAAGGGCAATAAAAAAACTAGAGCTCGGTACCTGTAAACGGTCCACAGCGATCGCAGCAGTCATTTGAAAATGCAACACACAGGCGACTCAGTGATTGCGGCATTCGTTTAGTTTATTAGAGAAAGCATTGTATTTCGTCATGTTTGCTTGTTTGTTTGTTTGTTTTTTTCCCCATAGACAAGAGAATCTTTTATCGTTTGTCTCATGATGTAAGAGTGGGGCTAATCAATCGTGTAAAGCTCTTAAAAACTTAAAAATAATGTGTAAACTTCGCCCAACTGGAATCTTTACCACGGTACTTTATTTTTTTCCAAACGAAAAATTCATGAATAATATATCAATTGTTGTCAAAATTATCATTTTAACTTCTTCTGAAATAAGATCAGCGATAGGTCACATAGCTGCCATGGCTACCGTGAGTTTTGGAATTGCTTCTTTTAACCGATTGATCCCTTTCAAGTATAATGTAATTAAGAAGTTACAAATGAATGCTGTCATCTACTTATGATTTGAAATTCACATGAAATGAACACTGAATGCGGCACCGGTGTACCATTTCCACCAGCTTTGCTATATATCCAGACGGGATCTGGCCTTTTTTTTTCTGAATCGGTGATACGCTTCCTAACGATATGTCAACGGCATGTATTTTAGCTGTAGACTAACCATTTAAAGTAAGATCATCGCAGTTAGACACATAGCTTAGGTAGCTGTGAAAACGAAGCCGGATTTGTTTAATGAAAACTACTGTCTCTTGGCAACTTATGCAGTGAGCCGGAATACTTGTTAAATTGGGTATTTTTCCCTCCTTAATAAAAAAGAGTGCATTGTTTTGTAAACAATTCACTGTGGGAGATCAGATGTTATTGCAAGGTCACTGGAAAAAAAAAAAGAATAATTGTTATGATCCTTTTGAATTGTGCTTTGAATATTCCACAATTATTCACCAAGTGTGGTTGTCGAAATTTCAGTCTGCTTTCAATATCTGAGAACATTGCGTAGAGCATGTCTCTAACACCGAGTGGAAAAGTCCTTCACTCATAAAATACTAAACATTTCTGTGAACAATGACCTCATGTGGCTCTGTGATATAGTTCAGTTTTTCACCTGCTAGCAAACTTAATCCATAGTTTCACTGCTGACGGAAATTATGTTATGATTTTCGAGTGCCCTACTGTTTTCAATTATTTCATGGTTTCATTAAAAGCGGGCTGATCAAGAGTATGGATTTAGTAATAACCGTGAAGTTCAAAGTTAATTGCTGAATTGTTTTCTTCCCTATAAGACGTAAAGGACCTTGAAACAATGTCTTTAATAGAAAGGACCTTTCTTGAAAATCTTCTATCGTTAGTTTTTAATTATTAGAAAAGCGTTGTTTACAAACCGTTTAGAGAGCACCAAATCTTAATTTAATCACCTTCATACCGTTGTATGGAGAAGTCGAAATTCCCGCTTGAAATACACGTTTTCTGTCGCTGTAGTAAACTTAGAGTCAAGTTAGAATCACTTATGCCACATTCTGTTGATTTAGAAACTCAATGCAACGTCAATGAGCGACAGTATGGTGAGTGCATAGATTTTGGCACGCCACTAATAATTAAACATCCAATGACGAGCGCTGAGTATTTAAATAACCACTCTGTCTCCCATCTGTAATTAATAACGGAAAACAGTTTGGGTTGTTGTGCGATTCAGCAGCATTAAATACATTCATCGTCCGTAGCTAAGGCCATTCTAGTCATACATATCCCCTGAGAAGTATTTAAGCCGACTCGGGGAGAATGAGTGAATTTGAAAGTAGAGAAGAATGTTGTGGTTGACGACGAGGACCCATCAGTTCGATAGCAGGAATTAGCGGTTAGTTGTATCGGTTACTGTTATCTTAAGATTGCTTGAGGCCTATCCAACGGAAAACATTTCCCTTGCCCTTTATGTTTTTGTTTGCTTTATCACTTTCGACAATTTTGAGCAACGCTCAATTGAGCGTTCAAGTTGTCGCCGTTACAGTTACAGAATTGAATAACTCGTGTTCCCTCAAGTAAATATACATAAACAGTGTATACAAATTGAATGAAATTATGCCAAATTAGGGCAAGTATATAGCTGAACGTATTGACATTTCGAATTTCCTTGTTTACGATGAAATTTGCCCCAGTTTCATGAGATGGGATGGAAGTAAATTAAGCCAAAGTCTTGCCATGTCACCATAATACATATCTAGGAAAAATAAATGCATCAAATTACTGAGGACAAGTCGCAAGCAGGTGCTGTCTGTTGAAATTTGGCGCCAATAGGAGATTGCCTTGATGTCTAAATGTCACTGTATTTTCTGTTTCGTGATGCTGGTAAACCTCAAACAAGATTATCATCTAAATGTTTGGGAAAAAACAATTTGAGCAAGTCGACTTTTTCGTAAACAACGGCAGACGTTTTGAAATAAAAAGTCGTCAACACAGCGGTGAAGCTGAAAATTGAATCGAATTTACATAAACGTGAGTCTCTTCTAATTACCTTTTGGAATCAATTTTCTCAATCTTTCGAATTTGCTCCTCGCAATGAAAGAATTTAAAAGTATAAATTTTAGAGAATTTACTGATCGAAAGAGCTTTTTCTTCATCAGAGGATTCTTGAACTTTGCAAAAACTTACTGTAGGGGAAATGCATCACGACCGCGTAGTCGCGGGTTGCTAGACACCTCCTGATATAGCATATTTTCCCGTTACAAACCGGAGGTTTAACAGCTTTTATCATGGAAAACGCTCTAAAGAGTTACCTCATTAAGACAAATGCATAAGGAGTTTAAAACTTCATCAGATCGATGTCTGTCCAAGCAAAAGTAATGTTTTGTCTACTCTCAAAGGATTGCCAATTAATAAGCTGAAACCTGATTGAAAATTTGAAAGGAAGATTGAATTTAAGGTGTTAAATAAAGATGTGATTTTACGTAAAAAATCTTCAATTACCTTTAAACTTCTTTAATTCTTGAAAAGAAGAACTCGCTTACAAACCGTTATCATCCTATGATCACTTGTTCGTAATAATGCACACTTTGACAGCCGAGAAACCCTGTTTTTCTCATCGTCGAGTAGATGAACCGTTTCTGATTTCAGAAAGAAATATTATACACTCTATTTGTAATTAAAAGTCAGAATTAAGACACATTGGCAGTTCTGAACTAATAAATAATAAAAGAAAACCAGCCTAATTCACTTTTGTTTTCTCCATTACATAGAAAGTAAAACTCCGACAAGAAGGATGAAAATAAAGGAAAGCTATATATTTTTGCACGAAATTTAACAAAATTTGCATGTAACCTATAGAAACACAGGTAATGGGGGCTTTAGGGACTGAGCGCGATATTTGATTGTTGATTAAAAAACAAATGAATTTTTAAGGCAATAGAATCGTCTCCAGATGAGAAAAAAACAAAACAAAAATGATAATTATCTCCCGCAAAATTAGAAGAAGTACACCAACACAAAGTTCATCTTGATTAAATATCTAATACAAAACCCTTCAAAAAAGAAATAATAATCTAAAACTTTGTACTTTCGGCAAATCCCATGGGAGAACTGAATTAAGTAAATGCATGTTCGTTTTAGCATCTTGAGTCACAGTTGACGAAGTACTCTACATAGAAACGTCTTTTTGGCCGTTTAATATATGGTATTAGTAATATTCACGAGCCATGGCACAAGAGAACGTCTGTGTAATATTCTGTAACACTGTTCGCTTGAAAGGGAAAGAACGTGGTTAATACGTGAGGCCGATTTTGGATTATTCCTGATCTTAAATCAGTCTGTCGCTACGTTTTTTTTATCGCCGCTGAATGATTTGTTTGTGTAGTAAGCTCTATGTAGTAACCTGTTGCGTAATGCCACCATGTAAGGGCACTTAAGAACCGCTGATATATAGGAAACGTCCAAGGTAGGGATGGTTCTTTTGCAATAACATGTCAGTTATGCTACCAAAACATGTCAGTGTATGAAATTGAAATAGTAGCTGTTGTGCAGAAGATATTTCATACATTAGAGTTTGTGGGTGATATAGAGAATCTTACCACACGTAAAACTACTGTTGTTCATGCAATGTTCGAGATGACAATTTTTACATTACGCGGTGTTCCAGGTTACAACACTAACAAATTCACTCTTTTCATTCTCCTAGAGGCTTTAGAAGGAAAGGCAGCGATGTCATATTTGCATTTTGTTGGATTTCTCTCATTTTTACGACTGTCAGGTCTATTCAGGTAATAACATGAAAATCTTCCTACGTATACTAAGAGAAATTCACTTCCATATTTTGCCTTAGCTTTGGAAAGTTTGTTTTTCAAGTTTGAACTATCGCTAACAACCAGTTAATAAACAATGGGTGATTGGTGATTGTATTTAAGGGAAATGTGAATTGACCTGGTTTGATGCGATAAATGTCAGTTACAAAGTTCATAATTACATATATTGCTCTAACTATATTCAGCCTATGTTGGTGTTTTGACGGCACTAATGATGGGTGCATAAACTCTCGACCGTTCTATAATTTATTACAATATCATTCAGATAATAGTAAATCATGATACAAATGCTAGTTTGAAAACAAACTGCTAGTTTTAAAACAAACTCAAGGTTCTATAAAGGCAGCCATATATTCAGAAACTTCTGCCACTAAACCGCTTAACCGTTAAATTAAATCGTTCATAAACCCGATAATTTGCATAGGAAATACAAAGAGACTTCTCAGCCCATTCAGATGAGTTTTACACCTTTTGTTTTCTATTTTAATTGTGTTTCTATGGGACCAAGTTGTCGTTATTTTCAATGGAGCAAGTGTTAAATCGGCTGTTGTTGGGTGGTTGTCATATATAAGTTCAAATTTGCATTCATGTCCAAGGAGAGTGAACTTTAGGATCAGTTTTTATCAATTTCTTTAGAGTTCCTATGCCATTAACATTGTAGACTAGACGAATACAAACTTATCCTACACACCTAACTCTTTTGAAAAGCCAACATACAGGAAATTCTTTAAAGTGTTTCTTTCTCGCCATTTAAAGCAAAACTAATAAGGCCAACAAAAGAAACGTGGCAAAGAAGGGAGAAGTTTGGCATGTTTTTCTCTAAACTTAATTGATTTTTTTTTTTTAGCCATGGCTTGGTGATAAGGAATACCTCTAGTGCTGACGAGAGCTCTACCTCTACAAGTAAACAGCCACTTACTAAGATAGGGAATCCTTTCGAGTCTATGCTCACCACAACGTAAGTTTTTAAAAAAGAGAGCACCTCAATTTCAAGGGGTGCCATTATTTGAAATAGCTGTGATCAGACGAATTAGATTTTCTCGACAAAGGAGAAGAATGGGCTTGAAAAACAAAACAAAACAAAACAAAAAAAGATAACATGTCACCTTAAAGTTGTATTTTTGTTGAAGTTCTATTTTTGCGTATCAAAAACCACTGCCTTTTCAATTCCTTCTCGTAATTCAAGTAGATTTATTGGCGATTCCTCAAAGACCAACCTAGAAATGAGGTCGCTTTTCTCAATTTTATTTGCAGGGAGTCAACTATAGACTTGGCAACGCGAAAACATAATAGGAGTGAAGAAATAAAGCCAGCGAACACACCGCCATGGTAGGTACTTTCTTTCATGTAGCCGGCTACCCACGCACGAGATTACTGTGTGGTGGATGTCCTCCCCTGGGGTGGGATGGGTGGAAGAGACACTAATTGTAAAGCGCCTTTGATCATATAAAAATGTTAATTGTTATAAATGAATTGTAAAGCGCTATTGAATAGCAATAGAAATAGCGCTATATAAATACTGTATTATTATTATATTCATTCTGCTCATGGTAACAAGCTGAACTTATGTGCACTTATAAGCTCCTTACTGGGTTCAAAAGTATTGTTTTGATGTTTTTGTGAGGATTGAATTGACTAAGAGCAAATCTTGAAGTCGTTTCGACAAAATTTTATTTTCCTCACAGGGAATACCAACTGAAGTATGAGGAGTTAGTGATACCGGGAAGAAACGTTTCTGATATTCTTGAAATTGTATTTAAGAACTATGACAAAAGGATTCGTCCATTTTATGGAGGTAAATATGCTCTTTAGATAAAATGTTACTTTGTCGCGTTCATTTATTCAATGCATGGCTGGCTCCTCAAGCAAGCAGAATAATTCGTTTTCTGTGTTCTGATTAACTATAGGAGTGCGTTAGATGGACCTGTCTAACGCCGCCCAGGTTTGCCTGCTTAGCTCCCGAAGTCGGCTTTTGTCTGTATCTGTAATCTCTTAAAACAAAGACAATCATTTGCTTCATAAATGTTTTGCAAAGAAAGGGATTGTCCAGAACTTAACAAACTTGAACCCGTTCGAGGTGAAAAACGCATCTATATCCCTCATTTGCCATCTTAGTTTCTGAAAAAAATTATTTTACAACCTTATTTTATGTTTTCCCCTGTATATGATTTATGCTGTGTTTTCTTTCAGTACAAACACTCCACGTCGATTTGGACATGTTAATTCTGTCATTTGGAGAGATTAGCGAAACTAGCATGGTATGTGAAGTGACACCTACATTCGCCTAATATAAAGAAAACCTTCATCTAAACTTCCGTTACCTTTAAAGTGAAAAAAAGGAAGAAAAATTAGTTTCGAAGAAAATACGTCCATTTTGCCTTTTTTTTGGTGCTACCCCTTTATTTAAAGTGCATATGCAATTTTCCTGTTCCTCTCTAAACAGCCGATTACTATTCATGATTATATCATATTATTTGCTCAGTGCTCTTTACTATCTTGCAGGATTTTGAGGTGGACTTATACCTTGGCCAGTTTTGGCAAGATCCACGATTAGCTTTCGGTATCAACAGAACAATTATCCTTGGGGGAATAGCATGCGAAAAGTTTTGGTTACCTGACACCTTTTTCGTCAATTCCATCGACACAAGAATACACAGGATGGTTTTCGCCAACAAGAAAATATGGATAAATCTAATTAACGGAAGCATGATGTTAAGCGCAAGGTAGTTTCAATTACATCACAAAACAAAAAACAAACACACATACAAACAAAAAAAACCAACCAAGAAAAGACAACAAACAAAAAAACTTACAATTATAGCGAATTAGAAACAGTCACCACAAATAAAGCCCTTTGCTCTGCTTGGACACAGAATTTTCAGTGTTCTTTCGATGCTTTCATTAATCTAATATAATCTGTTTGAAGTTTGTTTTCTTTCTACAATCTTTACACAACAGGTTAGTAACAAAAAATTCGTGCAAGTTGGATCTTAGGAACTACCCACTGGATGAACAGACTTGTCACCTAGCCTTTGAAAGTTGTAAGTATTCACAAGAAAAAAACTTTCATATTGGGATGAGGGCACGCCAGGGAGAATCTCTTATTATCACTAAAACGTTTTTGCCCACTGTTTTGAACTAATCTGACACGGCTAAACTAAGTGTATGGGTTCATACCAGTTTGTCAATATTTCTCCCTTTTCCTGCGATACACTTTGACTTGACATTTACTGTTGTTACTATCATTTCGATATGGCAGTTTCGTACGAGGAAAAAGACTTGAAATACAAGTGGCGGTCTCCGGTGGAGAGTACGATCTTCATTTATGACAATGAAATGGCACAGTTCGATATTGTGAGCGCCACGAGATATCTAAAACATGCAGTGTATCACTCTGGTAAGGAAAATTTTTATGCGGTAAATAAGTAAGGCTAAGCTGTCACTAAAAGAAACATACTGCAAAGACTCTCACACAAAACATCCTAATTTGAAGCACAATAATAAAATTTTGCTTAACACATATGAAACTTAATGGTTTGGGAGGTGAAAACTGTACAGTCTGCAAAAGTGTCGAGTTATTTTAAATGTTAAACAGTAAGATGGCATGATATCACTTTGAAATGAAGCGAGATGTATCATGAAGAACACAAATCGCAAAATTACAAAGGAGAAGCGGGGGTGGCAATAGAGTGTTGGTGATAATTTTGCCAACGGCTGTTTCAATATATCTTCAGGCCAATGTGCCAATTATTTTGTTGCGCACTATAGAAACAAAACATTGATATCTAGCAGACGGCTAACAATGTGACATTGTGTACTTATCAATCCATTCATGAACTGAAAATAACCAGTTACTACTGTATTCCTAAACAATAGTTTTCCTTCAACAAGGAACCAACCAGAATTTTCTCTTTTCATTATGTTTCAGACATGTTCTCTGGTTTAACAGCGACTATGATATTTCGTCGACGATCTATGTACTACATTTTTCAAATGTATATTCCTTGCGTGTGTGTTGTAGCTCTCTCTTGGGTCAGCTTCTGGATAAATCACGAGGCCGTTCCCGCCCGCGTGGCACTCAGTATAACCACTGTATTGACTATAAGCTACATGCGTGGAAACGTCAATGCAGGGATGCCACGTGTTTCTTACTTAAAGTCTATCGACTACTTCTTACTTGGAGGATTTGTGTTTATATTTATGACTTTGTTAGAGTATGTTCTTGTTCTGAAGCAATCTCGCAAAATACACGCGATGAATAACACTAAGAAGGATGATTGCGAGTTAAGTCAGGATAAAGAAAATCTGGTAAGTTCACGGCCAGTTGCAACAGCAGTACACGTAAGACGCGCCCTTCTTACTTCTATCCCTCGATTCTAATAGCCGTTTTCTTTTTCCTTCGTTTGTGCTATAGAACAAACTCTTTCTATTGTAAGAACAGAGATTTATAGCCTGAAATTTCTGTCTTAGAGTCAAAGGTACCTTTTTACCAAATCGTTACTTTAAAAGCACATTTGAGTTTCTTTCATGTGAAGTCACTCAACAAAGCTGAACATCTCGAAGTCAATAATAAGTAATGCTCACCGAAATAATTTTTGAGCTGTACGCACCTTGTGGGACAGTTGAAGGATTGCTCTGTAGGGTTATGTTGTCCTGCTATCACATATATTTTAGAGATAACTACTCAACTATATTCAAATATTTACCGAATATAGAGTGTTAACCTACCATCATTCGATGTAAGGTAGCGGTACTGTTTCACCTCATGTCTTTAAACTCCTGTTTCGTAGGACCGACGACCTCTTCTTGTAACTGTCGCATTCGACGGCAAAAGCTACAAGTTTAGACATTCTTTGGAAAACATGGAAAATGGCTTACACTCTTCTTACCCAAAAAGAAAAAGCTCCGTGCACGATCGCACAAGAAAGCAGAACCTGGCAACACGCTTAAAACCCTTCTTTGTCAAGAAAGGAGTTAAAGAGAACGAAGGAGTCATACACAGAGTAAAACGCAAATTTAGGTCAGAACAAGGAGTTCACTACTTAGATCAGTATTCAAGAATTCTGTTTCCATTGGGATATGCTGCCTTTTTGACCACCTACTTCGTTATCTACATGGTGAAAAAGTAACAGTGCCTGGATGGGATGATTATCCATTAAGTAGACGTTGGGAAGTGGTGTTAAGAGCATATATCTTGTTTGAAAGAACCCAAGTCAAATTGATTCATGCTGTCGCTTGCTTTATGACGTGTTCTCAAATGGCCAGATTCGCCGCCGTTGCTGCTTCTTTGTATGACCGTAAACCAGTTGTAAAAAGGGAGATTTATCATTAAAATTCAAGGATGATGAGAAAAGACAGCTTTGATCTATCTGATCGAAAGCCGCACTACCTCGCGCGTGGTAAATTGTATCGTAGTATTGTTATCGCATCAATAGGAATTTAAATTAACGATGAGCATAACATGTTACTTTCTACTGTTGTAAGGCGTTCCCTAAAACTTGTTTGAATTATTTTTTGGAGGTGCAGTAGTCAGATTAAGAATCAAAGTTGTTGTTCAGTACAATTTTACTTGGATAAAAAGGCAAATTTCCATGTTTCTTTCATTATTCTTTTTTTTATATTATATAGATATATATGTGATATCTGTGACATATCGAGTGCTTGATAAGGTCATACCTCTCTGGCAAAACGACGTGAGAACTACAACTACGATGGAAAAAAAAGATTTCAGTATAGTGATATTATACAAAATTTGAAAAACGACTATATCAAATTTGAAAAGTGTAATGAATATAAGAAATTGGGAAAACTACAAAAAGGAAAACGAGAAGAGAAAAACATCTTGCAAGACCATAAGCCAATTTATACTTGATATTGTGCGTCTGGTGTAGTGAACCACTTGGAGTGGAAGTGTTCTCAGTGTCATTTATGCTTTGATCTATAAGTATCCTGGCCTATCTGCCAAAAGTTAGAGAAACCTTAAAGTACCACATGCTTAGTTCATGTATGCTACAGTAAGTTCAATTTACGGGTTACAATAAAATAAATCAATTTATTCCCCTATATATGGAAGCATCAACTTAGACGCGTCTGTTAGTTCTTATAATTCCCCAAATTATCTGCGAGCCATATTGAATAAAAATGGCGCGTAAAAGCGAGCTTGAGAACAATGAAGTTACAATTCGGTAAAACAATCAATGTAATCATATTGAGCAAAATGCAAAGAGGGGAAAGGGGAGGGGAGCAGGCGGGGGAGGGGAGCAGGCGAGAGAGGGGAGCAGGCGAGAGAGCTGGATATTATTCAAATGAAATAATCAAACCCTTCTTCAATCCATTGAAGACACCGTACGATTAACTAGCTAAGATAGTTTGCCCAGCCAATACTGATCATTTATTAAATCAAAGCAAGAGACGATGAATTGTTTTGGTAATTCTTTGTCAAAAAAACATCAGTGTGAACTTAGTGCGACTATAAGCTGAGGAAATGAAATTTCGGTCTTGAAGCAAACGTCATACAAAAAGGGTTATTTGTGATAGGATCATCTCACTACTGACCAGTTAGCTAAGTTCGATTTTCAGAAAATTACCTCTTTTTCTAGAGGTTTCATCCTAGAAATGGATAGCTGAGTGTTATCATTCTGTTAGAAAACAATTTTATGGAACGGAGGGTCGTCGACTTCTTCAGGCGGATAACTTACAAAAGAGGAGAACTTCTGAAAGTTTACGTCAGATGCCAGTAAATAAGTCATTTCTGGTGAGGCACATAACATCCAAGCGTTTCATTGATCACGGCTCATTAACATTCAAAATCGTTAATACAACTGCGTTTAAAAATTCATAAGCACCTGTCATTCACAACTTGACTTGAGTAATGAAAAGTCATTGCATGATTGTAATTTTTACGAATTCAGTTTTAAGGCTTATACAAAAAAAAACTCTCAAAAACCTGAGAGTTTCAGAGTCTTGATCAACCGTTTTTGGTAATGAAATATACGCAGTGTATTACGCAAAGTCTTGGCAAATTATGAGTAAGAGCAAATTTTGTTGTTTCTGAACCGTCACAGAGGTCAAATAGCGTGAGTCGGGAGACAAATGGAGCCCTGCTGTGGCATCCGGGGATTTCACTAGGCAAAAATCAGGCAGAAACTCAAATCGTTTGACACAAAATTCAAGCCGAGGTGCGATAATTCGTTTACGTCGCTTGAAAAAGAATATTACAGTCAAGGTAATCCAGTGAACGAATACGGCTAGGATTTTCCTTCGCTCATTCAAAGGTAAATATTATTCAAGGGTTGTATTAGTTATTAAGACAAGAAAATATATAGGTAGTTCCACGTACTACGGTTCGTCGAGATCGCACCAAAGTATAATCTCTCATCTAAGTCGATGACAAAAAGGAGTAAATATTAAATCTGGGGAAAACGATTCACTTGGTGCAGAGACAATCTGACGCCCGTTGGCAGTTTTGCGGTACTTTCGCCCGAATATGTTTTCATTGAAGACCTAATTCAAATAATTAGAAGTTATATAATTATGCAGAGACGCTTTGAGTCAATGTTTTAGCTGTATTTTTAAATTATTCCAAGGTGAATAGATTGTCGTATTTTATCTACAGGATTTGATGATTTTCATTGGAGGCTATTTTCTAAGAGGAAATCTGCAATTATGAAAAATACGCTATTCATGATATGGTAGAAATGTGACAAGTTTTATAAAATTCGTCATTGTCAAATGCTACTGCCACGAAAGAATGATAAACAAAATTTAGTCAAGGAGCCCCAACCAGATGACTTAGAATTCACGCCAGCGCTATCCCAGAACATTGTTAGCTAAACAACAACGGAAAAAGCAATTGAGAATTTCAATCTTGGAAAGTAAGATGGGCGCATAGGTCTAATTCTGTGTTCATAGACTGTAATGAAGCCTAAAAACTAAACTCAACACAGTACAACAATTTGAAATAAGGTGAAAAATGATGAACTATGAAACAAAACAGCTCTTGCTATTTAGGATTTTGCCTAAGATTGCCAGCTAGGTATTAAACTGCAGGAGTTTTCAAACGCAGCGATAGATAATGAAAGAGTGACATACATTATTTAACCTAGTAGTTTTCAAGTGAGTTTGTTTGCTTCATTTTTCCCCTAGAAGTCAAAACCTGCTCCTTGTGTTATACAAGATCGCATAATGAATGTTTGACTTCAGCATATTTCGTTAAAAAGCTAGGTCAAGGTAAACGTCGGGATCCTTTCGGAAGATAAAAACACGCTTTTAATTTTTTATGCCCATTGATACCAGATTTGAATATCCTACTCATTGTATAACAATGAGTGATTGAAGTGCAATAGAACTTCGTGGAATTACTAAGACACTAATGATAAATATCTACAGAAAATAGCTGTACAAATACTTTTGTAACATTATTGTGTATGTGCATGTTTTGATGAGGCACTCAAAAACATCACGTTCTCCGTAGATTTCATTCAATCATGTACATGTTTATTGCAGTGTTTGAGACGGCCATCCAAATGCTCAAGTTGGAAATTTTTCAAGATCCAGCACTTTGAGTCCTTGAGAATAGGGAAATAATTAGAAACTCTAAAGTTCGGATATACAGGCATGTATCTCGCATTATTTTACCCTGAAACGATGTCTTCACTTGTGATTTTTGAATTCTTAAATTCATTTGAAAGCGAGAACTGACAAATGTTCCCCAGAAACTCCTTTCTTTTGCAAGTTAATTTGAGTTGACACTAAACATTATAGCATTTGGCATATGCCATCCAACGGCCTGCAATTATGACAAGAGTGAGTGATTTAATTACACAGACCACCTATACACCATTAGTTAGTTCCCTCGTTCCCCTTTTTGAAAAAAAGAACCGAAAAGGTGGGCATCACTTGATCATGTAAATTACCTTCGCTATAAAAGCCGCATGCCATAATGTAAACTCATGCGTAACAAAGTCCATTTTCTGATCGTCCCAGTTGGTGACGAATTGATTCTGGTATGACATAACAAGGATTCCTACAATTCCTTACTATGGCAATTATTGTGACGGGCGTGCACAGAAAGCTGTGCAGTTCCCACGAACAAAGCCTAAAACCGTGTTTCTGTCTTTTCAACATGAGCGTCACCACTGAAGGTAGTATACCTAGGCATTTGTTGGCTTCAGAGACTGCTGCATCATCTTGAGTAAGGTAGAGAGACATGCTAAGGAAAACAGACACACCTTTTTAGGTGTTCAAGGCATCACCATGCGGTATCAACTGGACTCATCGAAAAGCATCTCTAGTTTTCTCTACCTTTGCAAATGCTTCCTCGATGGATTTAATAAATACTAATTAAACGCTCGTCCAAAACCCTATTTCCAGGCCTGAGCGAGAAAATGGGATCAGGAAGAATACTTGCACTGACCTTACTGTTCGTCGACTGTATCGCTACAAACGTGTTGTGAGTATTTTAAATATTTAAATCGGTATGTGTGAGCGAACAAATACGACAAAAGAAGATATCCATCTCTAAAATTATCTTATGGAACAATAAACTTAAGCTTATCATTCTCGAAATGTATCCATGAAATTTTACTTCAAACATTTTCATAGGGAAATCTGTTTTCTTTCAGTCTTGTTTGTGGTTATTTACGAACACTGAAAAAGCTTAAAATAATAGGAGTGATAAAATCACTTAAGATCAGTATTATTTATCAGATATATATACCATTCTTCCCCGAAAAATTTCTTAGAAATCACCAATAAAAATTACTCTGTAACAACTAAACATTACTGATTTCATTTGAAAATAAGTGTAACTGACTTACATGTTACAAACTCTGTGGCTGTCCTTGTGATAATCAGTCTCATTTCATTTTCTTTCCTGCGAAGGTAATAACCAAGTAATCTTTAGCAAAGGTTGACTTCCACTTTTAATTTCTTAATACAAAACAAGGGACAAGCTCTCAGTAGTAAAAAACAGGACGCTTATACAGCCAGGAAGGAACATGTCTGAATTAATCAATTTGATATTGAGGAACTATGATCGCAATATGCGGCCTTTTTATGGAGGTAAGCGTTCTTTCCGATTCAGTATGTAAACATGTGTCCAGTCTCAGTTCAGAGATTCAAAGACAATCGAAAAGATGCAAATAACATAGACGATTTTATCCATTCTTAGTTAAGTAACTGACCGCCACTCACCCTATCCACCCATTTACAATTATCCACCTACCTATTCACCCACCAATCTACCTATCTACCAACTTGCCCGGCCACTAACCTCGCCTTGCACCTCACCACGTCCCTCCTCAGCTAACTACTACAACCTAACCAAACCACTAGCTCACCGACCAACCTATTTGGCATGATGCTTGATATGCAACTCTTGCACAATGAAGGCACTGTGAGGCATTTATGATTTCGGGTTATTCCCCTGATTAGTGGCACGGCAGGTACGATTAGGAGCGTTGTTGCAACGCTGGTTGCCCTTTAAGACTTTGATTGGTATCCAATGTTGATACGCCAATGGACTACAACAGTTCCTGCCTTCATTATAGTGACAGGTGTTGATGTTAAAGTGGACATTCTCATCTTATCGTTTGGGGAAATTCGAGAGGCAAATATGGTGAGTCAGCTGGTAAACTAGTGTGGAAGGTTCATGCCAAAAATAAACGTAATAAGTTACAAAAGAAAGCGCGCAAAATTTAAGTTAAAGAGGAAGGGTCCAAACACCAAATTAAAAGTTATTCCAAGCCTTCAAAAAGTCAGAAGAATTCTTAAAAATATAATTTACGGTTGAGCAAAATTAAATTTCCAACATTTCATTAACCTTGGTTAACAAAGCAACCACACTACACTCGATTCGAACACAGTCCGAGCATATGAATCAATGACATTTGATTTTTCCTCGTCTTTTAGGAGTTTAGCATGGATCTATACCTAGGCTTGTTCTGGCAGGATCCGAGACTTGATTTAGGTCTCAACCGATCTCTAACTCTTGGTGGTGACTTTGCTGATAAATTCTGGATTCCAGACACTTTCTTCGTAAATTCAGTTCAAACCAGTGTCCACGAGACTATCCTTCCAAACAAGAAAGTTTGGGTAAACCTGAATGGAGGTCATATGATGCTGAGTGCTCGGTGTGATACCTTTTTAAACTTTTTGTGTTCTGATATCTGTATACGTTGGCCTTAGCCTATTTAAAGACCGGAGCGAGGCATCACTTCAAACAAGGCTTTGGGGGCTCCAGGGCATTATATCTTATAGGAAAAAATCTCTGGGCTCCAAAGCAAAATAAGAAACCTATGCGCTACATGACGCACATTTAGGGGTTCCTAATCTCCAGCATTTCTTGGTGAGACCACAACAAGCGTGACAATTTCCACCAGCAATGCTGGTAACCGCATAGTTCGTGTGAGACTTTTCGATTACTTCACCAGAAACACTGCGCTACCGAGCTAGTTCGTGACAAAGTCTCTATTTAGAGTGATTACAATTTTGTTCCAAGAAAGACCAGGTCTCTCTTTTTTGGTATGCATATGCATGTCTCATTTTATTGAAAGCTTGGCGAACTAAACATAATCTGAATGTTTTCTTCACTGTATAAGTAAAATCTTACAAATCTGTTTTTATATCTCCTTAGGATGAAATCTACAGCTTCCTGTAAAATGAACTTACGGAACTATCCAATGGATGATCAAATTTGTCATTTAGCTTTGGAAAGTTGTGAGTAACACATGAGACGCTTTTATACTTTTTACTTTAGAGTCTTCATTAAATGACTTTTTTTACCATTCTCAGCATCAAAACATGTCTTTACGAACAAACTTTCTCTCAGTTTCTTATGATAGAGACGATCTTAAATTCACCTGGAAAAAAGAAGTCGGGACTGAAGTCTATATATACGACAAGGAAATGGCTCAGTTTACTGTCATTAACGCAACGAGGAAACTCAAGCATCCATTATATCACTCAGGTGACAGATAATGACACAGATCCTCCAGTAATAGTGTGAAAAAGACCGCACTTACGTAGGATTCCGAATTTAGTAAAAGGAGTAAAAATCAAAACCGCAGCTTGATAGAGCAATAAACATACGAACATACGACTGCATGGCTAACAGTCGCAATAAACAAAGCGTGAAGTTCACCAATCATAGATACACCATGCAAGTCGTTGACGAACACAACTGCGTGACGATTTAAGTAGTTTTTTGCATAACGACTGATGAATAAACTGTAGAAACGGAATTTTTAAGCACTAAAAGAACATTGTTTTAAAAAAGCCATTAAAAAAATTGTTAAATTATAACTATTTTCTTTCTCTTGCCAGAATCATTCTCTGGGCTCACAGTGACCATACACTTTCAACGTCGCACCATGTACTACATCTTTCAGATGTACATACCATGTGTATGCATTGTAGCTCTGTCGTGGGTCAGTTTCTGGATTGACCCGGGCGCAATACCAGCACGTGTTGGCCTTAGTATCACCACAGTATTGACGATATGTTATATGCTAGGCTCTGTGAACTCGAATCTGCCGCGAGTGTCCTACCTCAAAGCTATTGACTACTTTCTACTGATGTCGTTTGGATTCATTTTTCTTACTCTGGTGGAATATGTGTTTGTTCTGAGGTATTCAAGAAGAATGAAGTACGTTGGTAGTTTCTCTCCTGGTGAAAGGTCCCATGACGATTTCTCAACAGAGGATTGGGTAAGAACGGCTGTGAGAAGAGAATAAATAAAACCTCAAGTCTGCACTTTACAGTTTCACATTATGACTTTTTCAAAAAACGAGTACGTCCATGTACTTCCAATCGAAATTTCTTATGTGCCAATGAACAATTACAAATTTCATACCGATGGCAAGTTGTCACCGAAGGTATCAAACGTTGATACATAGTAATAAACAGAACACAAACAAAAAACAAAAACAAGATGAACATCCCACATTTCAATTGCTTGTTTTCTGTTTTAACTCTTTAACTCCCAAGATCTCATTGGTAATTCTCCTTACTGTCTGTCATACAGTTCTTGTGATGTTAGTTTGGAGAATTTGGGATTGGATCAACTTATAATCCCCTAATTGATATTTTTCTTTATTCTCATCACTAGTTTGCTTGATATTGTATTGATATTGTAAAGAGAAATTCTGTCTTTGTCACTCATGGGAGTTAAAGGGTTAAAATTTATCAAATCTTTAATCACGTTTTTTTCAAATACTCTTCTTTTTCCTAATTCTCTACTTTTTCCTCTTTCAGGCTGATAACTGTAGCAAAATGGAGATAAGAATTTGCATGGGAGGCAAATCCTACGTCTTTACGGACTCTATAGATAACGTTATAGGCTCATCCAAAGGGAGGAAAAACGGAACAATTTTCAAATATAATAGCACCAAGAGACCTATCAAAACCTGCAATCACACGAAGCCAATTTTCAGGAGAAAAAAAGAAAACGAAGGAACACTAATGGAAAAAATTAAGAAAACGTTTGGTTGTACTCTGGATGGGAATCAAATAGACAGATATTCAAGATTTATATTTCCCTTTTGCTACTCGCTGTTCTTAACGATATATTTTGTTGGATTTGTTTTTGGCAGTCAAGCTGTTCAAAATCTCCCTGAAGGAGAGATGTATTGACAATCACGAATTGCTTGCGTGATATTTAGTGAGATTCACAATGTCAAGTTCGTATCGTTATAAACTAAAGAAACCCGGAATTCAGGAGATCCGAGTTCAGGCCCCGTCTTTGGAGATCTCTTTTCTGAGACTTGTTTGCTTTCAAAGAAAACCTTTCCAGGCGGGACATCACTCTGGGACAGGAAGAAAAGGAAGGATGAGACTGGTGATAACTCAGAATGAATCCAAATAAGCAGAATATAAGCTGGAAGTAAAACATTTAATGCTGTTTTATTTACTACTGAAATCCTGACTTATAGCATTTTTCAATAGACACAATGACCTTTTTAATCGCGAGCATGTAGTTGTTATGACATGGAATGCTTTTGTCGCGCTTCGTCCTGTGCTGAAGGATCTGTCCGTTTAGAGACACATCATCACGGAGTTTCGGCACTTAATTTTGCACAGGCATCTATATAACACTTATTTTAAGTGACATAATCAGATTGGATGTTTCCTGCACGAGAAAAATATGACTTCAGAGGGTTCGTTACAATGTGAATTATAAATCAGCCTTTAAACCTGCATAAAATTAATCATGTAAAATACAATTGCCTTATGTATGTAAAAGCGGATGGTGGATATATTACATAGCTACAGCTGTTGTAAAACACACGGCTAGTAGAGCTGTGTTCCGCCATATATTCTCCACCTACAGGGTAAATGAACAGTTGGATTTTTTATTGTCAATAAAGCTATACATTGGTTTAACTCATTCTATAGCTTTCGAAAACTTGTGACAATCATTCACTGGGAACTCTGTACAACCTGAACAGAAGTTGAGGCAGTTCGCCTGCGCCTTCGCGGTTGTTTGCGACTTGAAAAAAACAATATCGACAAGAAAGCGCCCCTAAAGTTATTATTCAGGGCTGCGTAGACAATTGGATTACAAGCGCTGTTGGTGAACATCAGCCACTGAGCAAATAGGATGAACGAGATGAAAGGTGGCGTGAGCTGGGACAGACTGAATTCGGCATACATATAGACGATGTGGTATGGTAACCAACAGAGACCAAACAAAAGCACCACAGTAACCAACATCTTGATCACCTTCCTCTGATTTCGGTTGTTAACTGAAAGGATATGATTACAAGATAAGTTACCAAAAGAAAGAAAAAACAAGAGTTTACGTGCTTGTATGCTAATCAGACAGACTTTAGTAGGTTTTGTCTTTACGTACAAAGAAAAACAAAAGATTTGTGCGAACTTGGATCGAGGCCAAGTCTTAACTAATTCTCCGACTAATTATGTTTCAATGCTCCTAATGCAGTACCCGATTAATGCACCAAGGTGTGATTAAAGATGCTTAGTATTCACATCATGTTTAAGCGAGTTTACATAAAAAAGACAAAAAAGTTCTGAGATGTTATAACTTTATAGTGGAAGAAAACAGAAAGTCTATAGAACCTAGAAAAGTATGCCTTTCAGGTTAGATCAATCATTAGAGCGGATTAAAATGAAAGGCTACACACCACTTTGGGTTGTCGGCAGGGTTTTCAAGAAGCGACCGATCCGAACGTAAAGCCCACAGATGAACAATAAGGGAAGAAAATACAGCAGCAAGAACACCAGAGTTGTGTAAGCTTGCCTGGTTTTCAGATTTGGCCATTCTTCGATGCAGATCTCTCTGCCTCCTTCATTCCACCTTATGGTCTTGCTAAACACCAACAGCGGGACAGGAATAAAAATGGCGGACACCCAAATGAGCACTATGGCTTTGTGAGCCTCACGGACGGTGAGCTTTCTTCTTGTGTATAAAACTATATGCCAGTATCGCTCAGCGGCGATGGCAACCAACGTACCCACTGAGGCAGATAAAGTTAAGCCTTGCAGGAACGGAACAAGCTTGCAGAGGGCAGCACCGAATGGCCAGTACACCAGATGACTGTATGTAACTACAGTGGGCATGTTGATGAGAGAGACTGTGAGGTCTGCCAATCCAAGATTTGCAATGAGAACGTTGCTCACTGTGGTCATGCCTGGTTTACGACTAGCGAGAATAACCAATAGATTACCTAGAACTCCAGTAACACAAATAACGCTGTAGGCTGCAATGCGTGACCATTTAAAAAACTGGTTTTCAGCCGCAGTTCCTGATTCACCTGGGGAAACAGTGGATGGTATGTTGTAATAGGTCGTGTTACTTTCGTTGAAAATCATCGCCGCCACAGAATCCAACCTTTTAACCGAATATTTTGGGATTGGATAGGAAAATAAGATCTTATAGTCAGAGGAAATAAATATATATTGAAAGTTTACCAAGCTGCCACCTGATATTTTGATTTTACTTGTCCTCTTCAATGAACTGTTTCCTGTTCACATGGCAGGCAGGTTTTCCTCTATAGATAAAAGCAATCCTCCGTTTGCTGACTAATATCGTTTTCAGGTTATTTCTATCATTCCTTGCACAAGCTAAAATCGACAATTTTTTTATTTTATTGTCTGATAAAGGCGAAAATCAATTTATGTCAAATGCTCCTGCTAGCATTTCGGAATTTCACATATATGTCTCAATTCCCCTGTCAATCTTCTCCCCAAGCAATCTACATTATAAAACATCATAAAATGAAAGGTATGGTAGTTATTGGACGACGGCAAAGCTAAATTTTAGAGGAAATATTGTGAAGGGTAAACTTGACAGGTTAAAGTAACATCGTTGATATTTTTATCGTTAACAAAATTCAGGCCTTATCTTATCTAGATAGAGCGAGAAACCTGAAGGTTTTTTTTTTTTTTAACCGTAGAGGTAACTGTTGATTTAGTCGTTCTTTGAGTGTACCATGGCTTTAGATTTGAAATAAACATCAAAAGGATAAAAAATATCGCCCTCGTGATCAAACGTTTTTCATTTATCTTTAAGAAGTTTGCTGTTCTTCGACATGGGGAGCTTCAGTTTTAAAACTAACGGAAGAGAAACAGAACTCCAATCCAATACCAAACATATCAGATAAGGATATCTCAGCTTTTCCTATCTATTTTTATCTCTCAATAGACAAAACAGGGACAAAATGCAAAATCGTGAGAGATGTGGAAAAGGGCCGCTACACTAAGGTTTCATGATTGCGTCAAAAAAACCCAACTTTGCTCGTTGCACGAGTTGATCTTCAAAATAATAAATGTAATGATGTCCACGGTAAACCATTCGGTGAAAATAAACGCCTCTTTTTCCTATCCCAACTACCCTAAATCATTTACAAATGTGAGCTTCGATTGACTGCCAGCGCTAGCGACATTAGGCTGGTGTGTATGCCTTTATATTTGCCCTAAGCGCCAGTAGAAACTTGTTGATTATTCTTGCCATCCGCTGGACACACATGAAAACACTAGCAAACGTCTTTATCACCAAGCTAGCAGTGGGGAATCTTCTACTTTGTCATATCAATGTCCTCTTGGTCACGACTTTGGAACACCTCGGACACTGGCCGTTCAGTGAGCTAATTTGTAAGGAGAGGCATAACTAAAAACTATAAAATGGGAAGATATACAAGGTATATCTATATATTATGTGGTGCATTTTAAATCGGCGTTTGTAAAACTGCTAAACAATTGATAGATTGGATTAATGTTTCACTCCCTTTGAAACTAATCAAATCATTTTCCTACTCAGACATCATGATATTGTGGGTTTTTCGGTAACAATAAAATTTGCTCGATTTCATGATAAGCTCCCGTTTTTTTTTTTTTTCGTTGTTGTTGTTGTTTTTTCTATATTCACTTCAGTCAATTAAAACTTGCGCAAAAAATTAACTAGAGACACTTTCTGCACGTAGATATAATGATTACCATTGTGTTTACATTGGTATAAACACACGTTAACTTCAAGACTTTCTGATAAGTTCGAAAAATACAAATGATTGCCAAATTGAAACAGTGTTTACGGATTGAGTTGACGACAAAATAGGAACCGAGACAGCTCGGCTCCTATTAATAAAAATGACCTTCTTGCTTTATGTTATCTAAAAGAGACTTATTCGTTCTTATATTTCCAAAAGAAACAAACACTCTTTCTAAACTATTTTTCGGGCGATGTTGCCATTGAAAAAGCCCTTTGTGGCATAGAATGAAATATGAGAGGACCGTGGCTCAGTTTAACATAATTCCATATATTCTACGGATATTAGCTTCTCTTCGTTTCCCAAAGAAGAGGGTTATTACCTCTTTGACCAGAGGTTTACTTGGAAGAAAGCTAGACGTCATCTGCAGATTGCTGATGATAAAGCTAACAAACGCGCCCAAGGAAAACTATATCGACTAAGTGTTTAATATTTAAAGCAAGACGTGATGAATTATCGCTGCTACATGTAATAGATTGGCCATGAATCTGGCAAATTATTTGTCAAAGGCAAATATGGTCTGCGCAGACGAGGTCGTAGGATGTATTTTGAAAGCCAGAGGTAAAAGAAAACCCAGAAAAATGAGATGAAAGTGGAATAAATAATCCCGTATTTGATGGTCCACCATAATTATAGTGCGAGCGGATAATTTGTCCAACACAGGCCTTTTTCCTCGCCCTTATGAAACTGAGAATACAACGCAACTTGCAAATATCCGCCCGTTTGGAAAGTTAGCCTGTGGAATTAGTGTGTTTACAAGAACTTAATCGCAGCGTTAAGAATTTGTCAATAGCGTTTGAAAGAGGACAGTGACGAACGATCATTGGTGTGAGAACTTCCTACACAAGGTTAATTTGTTTCCACAGAATATTAACACAACAGTTCTTACAACAAAGGCTTATTTTAGACCTTTTTTAATTCTTAACTATACCTTTCATGACATTTCTCTGCTTAAAGCAAAATACAAAAGACATAAGTTCGATGTAGCTGCACAGTGTCATAGTTTTCTTTCTAACGCCTGTTACTTAGATATAAAAAATTTTTTTTTAGTTGGAAAAAAAAAAACATCACACCCATAAACTAAAATGGTAGATTACATCAATTAACTAATAAAACTTCACGGTTTTCGTATGAATTTTTCAGTATTCTCAAGCAATTAGTACACAGTCAAATACCATTTATCGTATAAATGGCAGATGATCGAAAGTCTCTCGGGAAAATTACTTTGATTCATCGTAGAAAGATCGCTATCTAATTCTCAACTAAATAAAAAGAAAATGTCTGATGCAAATTAAATAAGGGTTAGTTATAATTTTTTTTACGAGCTGCATAGATTCCGGATCATTTACGCTCCGCAGTGCGATTCATAGCCCTTGTGAACAAATCCTTACCGGAATAAGTCATTCAAAAATTAAAAAAAGTGCTGCCTATTTTTCTTGGAATGTTTGCGTTTAAAGAATGTTAATATTTGGTTTTCCTACTGTGCACGCTTAAACCATATTTAGCCTTTTTCACCTGGTAGATCGTTCTGTCACATATTTGCCAAAGACATATTAGATTTCTGTACCTGACAGGAGGGTTCCTTAGTTTTTAATTAAAATCCCCAGCTGAGTCCAGATAACCCGACAGCCGTGTGTCACAAAAATCACATCTTCGGCTGCCATGCAAATTAACAGCACAAAATTAATTGACAATTCAAGATCTCTCTTGTACGGATGTCAATTTACTTAATGAAGTTGAACAGGATGCAAAATCAAATCTTCAATATAAACCACAACCAAAGATTAAATAATCTGTTTTCGTTCTTTTTCTTTCTCTTTTCTTTTTTCTTTTCGTTAATATTTAATCAAAGCATTGAATCAAAAACGTTTAGGGATAGTTTTGCGAAGTTATGAAGAAATTTCGAAATAAAGAATAGTTGATTTTTCTGACGGGATTCCTTCCTGTTGACAATAAATAAAAATCGGGAATATGCCACATATAGTTCGCTGTAGATTCTGAACACTGATCAAACAACAGCTGGAACATTATCAAATTACGCAGTTTAATTCACTGAAAGACTTTAAATAAATTGAGGCGAGAAATCTAAGGCATAAATGACTACACAAAAAATTGCTTTTGAAAATAAAAAGAACAAATTGAGAAGTTATTTTATTCATTTTATCTTTCAGTCCACTCCTTAATTTGTTATGGTATTAAATTAAATTCTGACAGTTTCACCGGCTTATCGTTTCGGAAGTGATTACTTGAAAGAATGTCCATCCCTTATTGACAGAGATATAAATAGTATTTAGTATTATTACCTTCGAAAAAAGTACCTTTCTTAATGATGGCAAACTAAAAAATGGATTGCTAAAATTAAATGCGGTAACTCCATGAGTTAGCCTTTTTTTTTTTTTTTTTTTTTTCCTTCCTGATTTATACGTTCCTTTCGCAGAATGTCTAAGACTCTTCCTGGGGGCAGGATATTACTGTGACAAACATCAAATCAATTCTATTTTACGTATGTAAACATTTCAAGAACTAGTCGGAGGTTTCTCTGATTTGAATCATTGATAAACTTCCACCCTGACTGATGTAGGTTACCCAGCAAAAGTTGGCAAGCTAAACCAAAACAAAAAGAAAACGTACTTCTAATTAGTATTTGATATTAATTTTTCACCAGCATACTTTGCTAAGCGGCATTTCATGTAATCGCAAATTTATACTTAAACTGCAAAATCATTTCTAATATTGAACTGGTGATTAATATATTTTTTAGATTTTCAACGTGAAGAGCAGTTTACAGTCAATGTTTGGCTGAGTAGAGCGCACCAAAAAGATGCTTAAATGTACGTCCGTGAAATCCTTATGATCTAAGAAAGGAAATCCAACACCTCTTGGTTTAAACGATAACAAAGGACAGCTTTGAGTGTCACAACGAGCTTCGAATCTTATGAATGTTGCCTCGTGCTTGAATTTACATTTAATCTCTTTTTTTTTTTCGCTTTATCAGTACCATTCTTTCAAAACTGAACAGCACTTGACAATACTCTTCTTCACAAGGACCACTTGTTTTACAACGCCAGTCTCCTATTAAACTTTAATCCGTCGAAGGTTTAGGCGGTTGGTTATGACATGTCTACATAATTCATATCTCAAAGTATCTTCTGCGGTGACTTAGTTTTTTGTGAAAGATAATATCATACTAAGTAATAAATGAAATATTTCTCTTTGATATTTGGATGTCTTTTTACAGTTTTTTTTCTCCGCGCCGCCGCTAAATAAATAATTTACACAGAAAAAAGCATGATGCCACGAACAGATAAGTGAAAGTGTTTTATGTACTGTCTGCGGATTACTGGCTCCGTAAAAGGAAGTAAGAAATCAGTTAACACCATTAGCAACGTTGAACTCTCAGGAAAGTGCATTTCAAATATCTATTTAAGGGATCTGCCGAAACCAAAAGCTTTCAAGGAGATTCAGCTCCTGAAGAAACAAAATAGTGGTCACGGAAGAGAGAAGTAATTTTGGAATGGCCAGGGCTTGAAAATAATAATTTTAACTAAAGCAAGCTCTATAATGAGCGATTATTGTCGGAGCTTCATCCGGAAGGCCATATGGGCTGTAAAACTTCAAAGTGAGCTAAAAAACATTAATTGATCATAAAATAAGTAAAATAAGTTTCTTTTGGCATGTTCCAAATCAAAATTTCTACAAATCTACCCTTGGTGACTAAATTTGGAGAATCTCTCTTTGGTCGAAGACATAACAAACGCCCATTTGAGCAGTTGAAGTCTAAATCGGTACAAATTTTAAGGCCGGTATTGTGACAACTTTTCACTTAATCTCAAATCCTTCCCTTTCGACAAATCTTCACTTTCCGGAAAAGAGCACAAACACTCTCAGAATAGTATCTTTAATTCTACTCGATTGGCAGAATATTGCTCCAAAGTTCCGGAAGAGGCCATAGAATTAAACTATAAACTCTGCACTTTCCACGAAAATGATAGGCAAGGCCTTTAGAAAATGCACGAGAGGTTATACATAACTGTCATTTGCAAAATTTCTAGAATTTTCTACAAAGAAATGATTTTTTATTGACTTAATATCTGAATACAATCAGCAAGAGCGTTCGATTCCGCCAAATTTCATTTGTTTGCTTATTCTTTCGTGTGTCAGACATACATTTGGAGTAAAGAAGTAAGTTAGGATTATTCAGCCCACTGTTTTCCTTGCTCTTTCTTTAATTCGTAACGAAGCGCTTCAAATCATAAATAAAACTAGTAAAGAGCCATGTGTGTGTCACTGTGGTGTTTATTTTTACTTCCAAGAACCAAGGCTGAAAAAATTCATTAGTAATAGTAACTGTTTGAAGTTTGTTTGATGAAAAGGCACCGATTGTGATCATTGTGGAAGCACTCCATCATTAGGGCTTTACAAAATTAAAAAAGGTGTAAGCTGTAGCTGATTGTTGGAGAACTGAGACAAGGAAAAAATCCACCGTTATTCATTTCATCATCCTAACTTGACATAAATCGTGTCTGTTACTAAAAATTTGCTTCGATTTCATGTTTGAACGATTAAAAAGTAAACGATTCAAAATATGGAAAGGGCTTGAGAGATGACATCAATTGTTACTTCATAAAGGAGGAATAGAAGGGGGAAAAACGACAAATCTAAAGATCTGCGTTTGGTGATGCGTTTAACCTCTAGATAAGGGACAAAAAAGTTAAGCCCAAACGGAACTTGTTTACACAAGTCAAATAGAACTGAATCTACCAATCCCTCAAGAGGCTCAAAGTGGAAAAATATTTTAATTAAACTTTTCCACACCGAACGTTGAGCTGTAAAATGAAACTTCACGGCAGCTCGTCACAACAATAACGATAATGAGAGGGAACTTTAAACAGAAGATCAGTTTGAATACTACCTAAACAAAAAGGACCCGGCAGCTGCTCAAAGCTCACTGTTAAAACTATCTGCAATGTTTACATTGAGTAGAAGAGTAATATTCACCCGGGTTAGAAAATCAATTCATCATAAAATGCGCGCTGCTTCGCTTATCTTCTACAGACTTGGCATATTGATAATCATCCGATCTGATAATCTAGTTATAAAAGGACATATTCACCACCCATCAGCCACAGGCTTGCTGCTTATATAAGCTAACAGAAAAAAAAATAATATACACATACACGCAAGCACACTTTGATGAAATTTGCACAAGCAGAGTCAAACGTAACACTCATCAAGCTTAAGAAATAACACATTTGGAGGAGGTATGACAGGAGAAAGAGACTTGAAGTTTTCTTTTTACTTGTGTAATATAAATACAAAGGTAAGGAAAAAGTAAGTTCGCACATCAGTCAACAGAAACCGCTACTGGAAAAAGAACGAATATTCTGTCTCCAAAAGCAGGTGATGATAACTTGTCACTTAAAGGTTGTCGAGAGTCTGTGTTTTGAAGAAGCCGCGAGTGGAATATAATATTACACGGTTTCTGGGGCGAATCAAGGACAACTAAATTGCTAATTGTTTCTTCCTTTTTAATTTATCCACGGATAGCCAACGGATTGTTAAATGCACTGAGGTTCAGGATCTAGCGAAGGAGTATTTGTATAGTACTGGCGCCTCGAGACTAATTTTGACTGCATACTCGCACATCTCACGGGTCTGTGGATATTAATCACGCGTCACGTCGACACGGTTGGGAAATAGCCGCAAAATCTCAGAGGTTTGGCGACAAATTATTGCTAAAAGAGGAAGAAAAACCTGGAAAAATTAGACTGAGGTGATTTAATTGAAAAGAAAATTGCCTGCCTTTATTTGATGAGTGGACTCGCACAGGTTATCCGGTTGATAATGTTTAAAGACCTTGATGGGCATGTCGACTGGTGCATCTGCCTTAACTAAATATCCAATTGAAAATTCATCAGATTTAGTCAGACAGAACATGGAAATTGGCTATAAAGAACAGTAAAATTGGCTTCCTTGCGTTCATCATAGCTGCCTTAGTTTCATTTGGACCAATCGCAGGCTGACCACTGACGTCAACTGATCGCGTTCACGGCGGTAAAGGCGACATTTGAAGCCTCCTTTCACAACTCCGTTAAATTTATAAGGGATCCGAACTTCAAGACATCAAGCCACCAATTTGAAGCGCTACATTTTCCTGAAAGTAGTCCCTTGCGCGCTTTCGTAAGGTGTACGGCTTAGATAACTACTTCTGGTTTGCTATTTAGCGGAATAGTCTTCACTGAGTTTTCACGACCGGTTGAAAGGTTACGGTTACAGCCCGGCATTATCATATTTCGTCTCCGTTGCAGAATTTACCGGAAATATTGGCTTTGGGATACACTTCTCGTCGGCTCCTATTATTTTAAAAAATTATATAGTGGTGCCTATAGCGACGTAGAGAACAAAAATAAATTCAACGTTGAAGAAAGGAAATTGCACCGTTCGATTCCACAAGCCAGTTTGCAGTCGCCACTATGACGGAATACTTCTCCCAAAGAAACTTCAGCAATGTGACCTCGACAATTCCTCCGACACTACAGCCTCAAGCTGCGTACGAGGATAAGCTTGTGTGGCTAAGAGTTGTATTTTATGGTGTAATAAGCATTGTTGGTACCGTAGGAAACGCTCTGGTCATATTAGCATATCGAAATCCTCGGATGCGAAGTGTAACCAATCTTTTTATAGCGAATTTGGGCGTTGCAGATCTGACTGTGACTCTCATAAACGTTCCCATCACAGTGACGTATTCTGTACTACAGTACTGGCCATTTGGCGAGTTTCTTTGTAAAGCCATACCTTTTATACTCGGGGTCACTCTCTTCTCCTCCGTCGGAACGTTGATAGCCATCGCAGCGGACCGATACCGCGCTATAGTCCATCCACTGCTTCCAAGAATTCGAACGCGACATGCGATCATGATCATTGCAGCAATTTGGATCGCCGCGTTCATCTATCCAATTCCGTTAATAATTTACCAACATTTTACAGAAGGCCGGTGTGAAGAAAAATGGTCCACAGAAAAGGCTAAGAGGATCTTCACGGTTGCTGTGTTTGCAGCACTTTATCTGATACCACTGATCGCCATATCGGTACTGTATTTTTTAATTTGTCACAATCTTAACACTTCGGAATCTTCTACTCAGGAAGGTAAGTGCTGGGCAGCAAATTCCTGTCATTTCATAATGTAAGCGAGTGATATTTCATTCGTTAACGGAAAGTTTACGCGAGATGAGGCGGAAACAGATTTTTTTACAGATACACAGTTATTTGCTGCTATGAAAAGCCTTGAATGCAGCGGCCTGTTTCGGCGTGATCTGTTAACGTTTGCCTAAATACATACGGCGTCTGCGTTTACCAAAACCAAAACGCGTAAATTGTGAATTATTAACATTACTTTCAAACGTTTCGTTCTAAGCCGGATTTATTCTGAAAAGTCCCTCGTGCTGTATGTTTTTTTAAATACTGCTCCTCGAGTGGGTGAAAAAGACGAATACGAGCCCAAATGTAAGCTTTCTAGAATATGTTAAGCCTAAAAGAAAAAATTGGGATTGGAAGCCAACTCAAAAGGTCTGTTTGCTGTTTCTAATCTATAAACAAATACTCTAAACCCAAATTTGCATTAATGATAGTGGCTTTTCCACTCGTATTTCATACGAGGAGAACGTGACAGCTTCGAGATCTTAAGAAACAACAGCTTTTAAAAATCTGAAATAATGGTCTAAAAATGTGAAAACAGCTTTCAAAATAATGGGTCGAGGGATTAAAGCCACAATACTTCCGCTGAAACTATGATGAACCAGCCCAGGCGTTTCAAACATCGTCTTAATTTTTCGGGTAACGAGAAATAGAAGTATCTGTAGTCCTACAAACATGAACGAAAATGCTACTTTCTTGAATGCAAAATCCCAAGCGTGTTTCTTTGAAATTGAGAGTAGGTTACATGTTTTAAAACAGTCTCTTTGTCATTTTTTTAGTTAATGGATTAATACAAACAATGATTCTTCTTTAAGAAGAAAGATGCAGATTTTAATCTATGTATTCTGCTTCTTTGTTAGTATTTTAAGGAAGAAATATTGGAAGGACAGTGTGACTGTTTGTGCAGTTTGTTTATTTCAGTTGCTTGTCACTGCATTGTAATAGTTGAAAGAGTAAAAAAATAAATGAGTATGGATAAAAACTTCAAAACATCGATGTAAACAAAGCAATTTGCAGTGGTAACAAAAGAGGTAAAATATTTCCATAGCAGTCGAATTCTTTTTTTGCATTTACAAAATTGAATAAAAACATCACCTACTGTCGTTATTTCCGAAAAATATATTGTTTTTATGCAACCGGATTCAGTACGAAGGTGTTCACAGGAGAATGCAAGCAACTTTGAGAATAAAAAGAATAAATAAATATAAATAAAGATAGCTTTCGGTATTAAAACTTCTGCTGATAAAATCAGCCAAAATCAGGTAAACAGAACAGCTAAGTGTTCTCGACGAAACACCTTCAGTCACAATTTGGATTTTCTTCAGAACTTTTCCGAGTAAGCAGTCGAATAGAGAGATTAAGCTGAAGACTGTCATACAATTATCAGCATTATAGGCTTAATAATCAGCTTTTAATATAGAGACATTGTCGTTTTTCACCGGGATAGAGCCGCTCTACTCCAGACGTAGAAGTAAAAAAAATTCCCAAACGTAGAAGGAAAAATTCCATTTTTAGAGCATGCAGGACTGACCTTAGCCATTAAACCCGTTTCAATTAACCTGAAGCAATATAGCCATGTTTACAATGATTGAAGTCGCAAACTAAAAAGGAGTTAGGCACATTTTTGGCCCAGAATTTTTGTAAATCACCCTGTGTGCAGAAAAAGTTCCCACCATTGTGCGCACACCAAAAATTCCCGAAGGAAACTTCCAATGAAACGGAAATTTTACTGATAAACATCTTGCTGTAGCCGTTGTTTATTTGCATGACCTTTTTGAAATACATGGAGGCTTGCTGTGTGAAAAGGATCGCACGCTGTTCTTCCTTGAAAACGTAAAATTGTCAGAATTAATAACATAACTGACATTGACTTATGGGTTTTAAAACAAATGCAGGTTGCGCAATGAACATAAAACAATCCATTCAGTCGTCTATCTCCGATTGTTTTGCGTTGAATCTTCGTGACTCTATTTACTATTTCCTTTTAAAACTCACAATTTTCGATAGAAAAATCAAATTTAAGTTGTTTAATATAACATTTAGATCTGACCGTCTTTCCAGTTCTCTTTCATTGACAAAAATAGAGGCTGTCGTTTGTGAATATTTAATTACTTTTCTTGCCTCTTAAAGATTTACGTGCAGCCAAAGGCGGATCAAAAAAAAAAAAAAAAAAAAAAAAAAAAAAAAGAAAAGAAAAGAAAAGAAAATATGAGTAAAAGAAGGAAAAATTCAATTGATTTCCGAGACTTGAAACGGCGCTTTCGAGTTAAGTCTTCATAAACATGTTGACGAGTATTTCATAATATGGCAGATTTACAATTATAATACAACTTTAATTGGTACCGGCCATTACATGCGGCTCTATTGAACTGGCAATTGTCTTGAGATATCGACAGGTGACTGGCACATTCATCGAGAGGAGTCGGAGAAATTCAGCGTAATTTTGGAAGCCTAGTTCTTTATGTTCTTTTTTTTCTGTCTTTTTTTTTTTTCGAGAAAAGAAAAGGACAGCGTAATCTCTGAACCATAAGACACTGTCCTTAAATGTCAATTATTTGAGATTAAGAGTTGTGATAAAGGATGAGAAATTATCTGTCTCGCAAGAAGGAGATAAGTTATTTGAAAAGCCAATATTGATTGTTGACTATATAGAATAATATTTGATCTTACTTGGGAATAATTTTTTCCTGGTAAAGACTCTTGAAACAATTGTTTAGTGAAGTACAATTGGTTTGAAAATATTTAAAAAAGGGTAAATTCACCGATAGTAATTTATATCAATGGCGACTTTCTCTATCAACAAGTTTAACTGATAACCCCTTTTTGACATAAATTTAAACAATAACAGAATACTCAATAGTAATAAACTTCACAATCAAGATTTATTTCCTTTTTTTTTTCTTTTTCGTTTCATTCGCAATTACTTTCTTAACCTAACATTTTCCCTATTTTACGTTACGTTCACTTCATGTCAATTTTTTTTGCTCAGGCCTAAAAGGCCGCAAAAAGTTAACTGGCGGTAAGTTTCTAAGTACTAAACCTGACAAAAATGCAATATTAAACTCAATTTAAATCTTTCGCGAAGCTGTCGGTGAAGGGCTTTTCGCCCCTTTAGTTACATTGTACTGTATCTCGTAATATGTGGCTGCCATACAGTGTTCCGAACGGGGTATAAGAACGATGACAACTGTGATTACTGATGCTTTCTAAGAAAATTGATTTGCTTTTGAGTAAATAACTTTAAGTCTAACTAGCCGATTGATTTATTACGTTGTGTGAGTTGTACAATTTTGACGATTCGTATTCTCTGTGTAGACTCATTTTCTGGTCACATGCTGCACGTTTTGCGTCAAAGATCGGTTTGTTTTCATAAAAAGACCACACATTTTATGGAATTAACAGTGTTCCTGTAATAAGCTAACTATTCGATCTCTTACAAAATTTTCCCAGTCTTTTTTTGTCCTTTAGTGGGCTTGGATAAACAGTTTATTGTGTTCGAGCTCTGCTGCACACGAAAGTGTGGGAACATTGATTTCCCCGCGCTTACAAACTTAACCAAAAACCTATCAGAGATCTAAACGTTAAGAAACAATGATTAATTCTTTTCGCGAGCCTATGTTTTCATTTAAGGGGAAAACTTCAAGTTAAATCGGTTTGATTTATTAAGCCTTTTGTTTCACTAACGCATCCTTGTCTCCTTTTCCGAGGCCTCCAGTCATTTCTGGTTTTCTAGGGCATTCCATACAATCTTAAAATCTAGGAGTCAAAATGCGATAGTCATTGGAAGAAAAGCCTGTATTATTTTAATTTCCTGCAATTATAGTATGCTTCCGAAAACATCTCATTCGATAATCTCTCACTGCCGGATGAGAAGGTTTTAAGACAAGAAAAAAGGTGGGTTTAATAAAATCTTTTTCTCTCCTTTTTTTTTTCTTTGAGTAAAACAACCCCCTGGTGCTTCAACGAACACACTTCTCCATTTAAACTTCTTGATGCAGAATAACAATAACGATATAAATGTAATGTCCTCTGAGTTTTTCAAGCGCCTTCAGCGTGGAACTTTGCCAACAATTAAATACCACGCCCAGCAAGAAATTGTTGCAGGGGTGCAGAATTGCTTGAGCTAAAAAAAGAAACCAGACCCCATGCAAAAGCTTTTGATCACTAATGATTAAAATTAAAACCCATGCCAAGTAAATATCAACAATAGCTCGAAAAGGTTTTTAAAATAATTGAAAGTATCGAAAACAATTGATAAGTTTCCGACTCTGGTTTGAAAATAGTTGTACTGAGGTGAGAATCCTAAAATAGCGGCAGTTAATGGAGTCCACTTTTAATTTTGAATTTGTGACTAATTAAGATTAGAAAAAAAGCTTTTATTTTTTGTGTTGTAAAAGGAAAATTGCTTTAGGGTGTTCCAAAGGAAGATTAGCGGAATGGATAAGACAAAACTAGAGCTTACCACGCTATAATTTTTAAGCTAAATTATCTTCAAGGTTGCTTTCTGCCTTCCTCGTTGAAGAATTAAAAGAAACCCTGAAGTGCAATGAGATTTTGGAAAATAGAGCAATTTTATGCAAAAAATAACAATAATAATATTAATAAATAAAGGTAAAATGTTAAGTTCGCAGCAGCAATAGCCGCAGTAAATGTATCGGTTCAACTAAGTTGTTGATTCGTCCAAAGAGGTTGTTTTCATGACGGAGTGTTCTCTAAAACAGGGTGCAAACTGGGTTTACAAAGATTTCATATCAAGTTTGTGAAAAATCAATCATTTTTGTGAATCTGATGTTTCCAAGATTAACATTTTTCAAGAATTTGTAAAGAGATGAATCCTCTATTATCATTGCAATGCGATGATTAAAAAAAATAGAGGGATGTAATAAGTTTGTTGAAGAGTTAAAGATGTATCAAGGAAAAATTTTAGAGTGCCTAAAATGCTAGGGCAATCGAATGGTGCCTTTTTTTGAAAAAAAAATCATGTTTTGAATCAGCTCAATTTTATTTCTACTGATCGGTGGAGCAAGAACAAACTTTTTACCCAGCGAAAGTAAAACCAACAAGCAAGTATGATCTAGGTAAACGAACAAAGAAAAAGAGTGAAGGACAAATATGATAAGGTACATAGTTACACAACTTCAATGCCATCATCAAAAAGACACGTCTTCGATCATCGCCCCTACCTTATTTGATTGGAACTCGAGCATAAATTTGATTCTAATGACTGCATTTAAACAGTTCTTTTCTTTTTTATCCAAACACGTCTCCGTTATTTTTGACAAGAGCGAAACAGATCTCTTCTAATGAACAATTTTTAATAAAACTGCTATATACGTTTGAATGAGGCTATCGTGGTTGAGGCTATCTGCCAAATTTATCTCTAAAATATATTAGGTACATGCATGTTTCATTTTTAAGAAGTAAGCAACCAAGCTGAAGTATGAAAGAAATCTATGACCGCGGTAAGTACTTAAAGCAAACAATCAGATAACTGTATCAGATGTGTTAATTCAATGGGAAAATGAACTTACCCAACATGTGTTTGGGTGACGTGGTATTCGGACTTATGTCAAATAGTTTGTTCCCTTTGCCAAATCGAATTTGAAATTGTCTCCTTGCCTTTTAAAAATCAAATCTTAACATTTGCATGGTAATTTTCACATGATAGTCAACTTTCGTGTACGCCTTAACGTCCCCGAGCTTGAAAATCTCAAAGTTAATAATTTTCTTTCATGAACAATAAGGGCATCCAGACGCAGCTACCAAGCTAAGAATTACCCATTTTTTTTTTCAATTGATATAAATACCATTTCAAATGCGACTGGTCTATATTCTAAGCATTGTAAGTTTGAAAATAAAAACTAGTCTAGCACGTTCAGAACATTTCTACCATGTTAAGTGATTATTATTCTCATCTGAGGAATAAAAGAACAGCATCGTACGAATTTATAATTACCGAAGAAACAGGGTCCGTCTGAACACAATGTAGAAAATAAGCCGTTTCAGAGCTTTCGCACAAGCGTACACAGCCGTCTTTGTGAACTGGGGTCTCAAGTTATTTAAAGAATACTTATGGCAACAGATCAGCCCTCTTGGAATTTCAGAGATTTCAACAAGATTTCAAACTCGGTTAATAGGATCTCAACAGAACTGATGTTCCGGACTATTTAGATCAGGTTCTCTGTATTTGGCATTCATGACTAACTGTACACAATTCTTTAGTGCGGCGTTGTTAAGGTCGCAGTCATGATTGTTAAGGTCGCAGTGAGATTTGTTATTAATTGTGGATGCGAGGAACAGAAGAAAAACTTTAACTTTGTAGTATTTAACAACTTTTTAACTCATGGGCCCGCTTGTTCTTCGTCTGCTTATTTTTCGCGTCTTTTCATAGATTTTCACAGCCACAAAACAACAATATCCCGTCTTTAAATGGCCTCGTGCATTCAAACCAAATCTCTTTCTTTGATTTGCATTACTTAAACTATCTTAATTCAATCGTAGAACGCTTATTAGACATATCTTATCTGACGTCCCTCTGATTGCAGTGTATTTTTCCCATCATATGTTCCGTAGGAGCTCGCCGAGCGAGGAAAAGCGTCATACGTATGCTAGTTGTTGTGGTAGTTCTGTTTACCGTTTGCTGGCTTCCATACCACGTGATGATGATGTACGATAACTTTGGTGGAAAAATGACGGGCACCGTCTTTCAGTTGATAATGTTTGGCTTTTGGTTAAGTTTTGCCAACAGTTGCTGTAACCCCATTGTTTACGCAGTATTGAACCGCAACTATCGCAAAGAGTTCGGTAGATTGTTAAGGTATGCATCAAATAATAAAGAGAAAAACAATTATATGAAACTACTCCACCTTTAGTCCTGATTATCGCTGTTTTCGCTATTCGGGATGAGCGCGGGCTCGCTGGTAATCATGCCTACCCCGCCATGAAATTTACACTCTTAGTTTTGTACGTCTTTTAGATTAAAAAAACAAAAAGGAAAAAAAAATTCTTACAATGACAAAGGAAAGGTAAAAAGCAGCCTTTTGATTTGAAAGTAAGCCTTTTTGTCTCGAAAAAACGGCGGTTGGATTCTTGCTTTGGCTCAATGCAGATTTTCCCTGTGTTCTTCCCTAGGTGTCAAGCACCTAAAGCCTACAGGAAGTCTGGCTCGCAACATGGTAAGAACAGACGATTTTCTTTGGAAACAAAAACAAGTTACAAGATAACCAAGCTATCTCTGAATAAAAAGAATAGTACCAACGAAGATCTTTCAATGGAAAACAAAGCCATGGCTAATAGCGTCCAAGGAAACAGTTCAAGCGGCAACTCAAGCCAAGGACCAAAAGATGAAAAACTGCCGGTATGTTTTGAGACAGGAATATGATCAATGTTGCAATTATTCTCACTGATGACCAACACTTCTTGGGATAACTGATGTTTTTTTGATCGTAGAAAAAACAACAGAGCAAGGTGAAGAAGACTAAACCCATTATGGTTTAAAGTCCATGCATGATAACAATAAAGTTGCATATAAAGACAATGGATCCTCTGCGACACTCGCGGCCATCACAAAGACATTGGAGCGCGGTTTTTCTTTATTGCTTAATTTTATCGTCGAGCGAAAATCTCACTGCGAACCAAAACAACACGTTTAGGGAAAAAAAACGTTCATGTTAGCCCACGACGAGTTTCTTTAATTTGCAATCCTATTCAGGTTATGGCCCGATACAGATCTCAAGTCTGCTACTCAGAGGGAGCGAAATTTTGTCGCCCAATCAAGCGCTGATTAATGAACTCACTGCATGCAGGAGTTAACAAAAAAAATTAACAGAAATTTTTGATAATGGTATTCATTTGCATCAGATAATGCTGGAAATTAGCTGAATGCGACGATACAGACAATATAAAAGGAATCCCGTCAGTCACTTCAACCTGAACGATCGGTTGTACATGCAACCGGGAAGCTCAGTGTTAAAACTTATGAAATATCAACAGGTATGTCTGCTCTCCTCTATCGATTATGAAGTCAGCTCATAGCCCAGTTTCAGTACACTTGTGAGCTGTCATGGAGTCTATAAAAGGCTAGAGACAATTTTGCAAATACTAAAAATATGTGCAATACAAAAATGATCAGTACTGAACTGAACGATCCGAGTAATTCACTGCATGTAAGTAGTAATCCTTTTGAAATTTCACGAGCATATACCGAGATGGAAATGTAACAGTTTGCGTTAGAAAGTGAAGGAAATAGACCATGAGTGTCATTAAGAGATTAGAAACTGTTTACAATCTCTTAGCGTCAAGAAAAGTTTACCTCTGCGAATACGATTCAAAATACCACTTGAAATTTCCCCCTTCAAATATGGACAAATCTTTCGCTTACTTTTAAAGCTGTGAGCTATGACCACTGGTTTAGAACCCTCTAAACAGAGTTTCATATTAACAGCAAGCTACGTAAATATTTAAGTCAAACAATAACCATTTGACGCGACCACGTAGAGGTTCAGATTTCAACATTGTGCCATTTAAGATGAACAAAGTGTTCATAAGTATCGAAGACATTCCATTTTACATAAAGCGAATTTCATACATGTACAACAACAACAGAAGGTTGGTTATATTTAAAGCTATGTCTAATTTGCATGAACTAAACAAGCTTTCTCCCTTCAACCGTTTTTACGAACTGAATAAGGAAATCTCTTTACTTTCTGAAGATGGGGGATCTTTTTCATTCTTTTTTCTTTCGGTTATACTCAAGAACAAGAGGAAAAGTAAGGGTTACAGGACAAGTTCAGCGAAATAAGTGTTAAATTTTACCGCACACGTGGTTGTAAATCAACGTGGAATTCTTATTGAGCTCAAGAATTCCACACTGAATCTTGTAAGGATCTTCTCGGAAAACAGGGCTACTTTGTGAAGATTCTACAACAAAATAGATCGGAATAAATTAACCTCACCTTGTCTGAGTGTGCTTTGTTGTTATTGTGATGTGAAGGAAACAGTGCAGCCCGGCCATTTTGAAATTTTGTCTCATCCTACGGTCTGGAACCTACTCAAGCCTCGTTATCGTCCTCGAGGAGTACTCGCAGACCCAAGGAAATTCCGAGTTTACATCGAGTCGCCTGCTCAAGCACTAAGAATCGGTGGTCACATTATATTTTGTATGCCTTTCTCTATCACAAAACACTCTCTCTTATTTTGACGGACAAGATACGTGATTAAAAATCTGCTTTAAGTAGACCGCGGCCGTTCAAGTAAAAAAGAACCCTGTGCTTAGGATAAGTAAGGCGATTTCCCATCGTAAATTGGAAATCAGCTGTGGTGTAGACATCCCCACACACAAACTCTCACTTCACTAAAATGAATAGACACATACAATAAAATATAAAAACCCATAGAAAATAAAGCACATTTTTTCTCTAACCGCCTTAAGAGCTTGCTATCTCGGAAAAAGCATAATCATCTATTGTTGTCATGATGGACTGAGGAAGTACGGTGCCAATTTCTTCTGTTTCTTGCTCTCTCTCGGGAGTGTGCTTTTGTTTCGGCCAGTACCAATTAAACTCTCGCTTAAAATATGCCAATTGCAGACAAGAAGTCTTTACGACAAAAGAACGAACAAACAGTCAAATTTTAATATGACTATTGTCCTGACAAATGGTCTGAAATTCGTTATTATAACTTAAAAAGTGCCTTATGCTCTTGGTAGTTTTCATAGCCTGTAGTATATTTCTAGAGGATAAACATATCGGTGGAACGACAAAACTTGTGAATGATGCAAGATAGGAGGAGTTCGGTTTCCCAAAAAGAGCTCAAATATTTCATAAAAGAAATCAACCGTTTATCAAAACAACATTGATTGGAGCCTGAAGGTAACTATGAGCTAATTGCATTTACGGGGCGAATCATAAACAGGGTTGTTTTTGTAAATAATGAGTAACAAATGATACGTAAACCAAGAACATTTGCTCATTTAGAATACAAACAACAATAGCACATTCTCAGAAGTTAACGAATTTATTTCGTTTCTTAAGGCGTACATGTCAATTTAAATCAAATGAAGCGGTATTTTTTACCTCACCCGCATGAGCTTGAAATCAAGGTTAACTAAGAGACTACGGTCACATGACTATCACGCGACTGAGAACAACGTATTTTACTAGCGTTTTCTAATGGTAACCTCGATTACAAACCACAATTAGTTGCATTTCATGGGTGATGTGAAAATGCGAAGTTTCTTTTTATAACAAAGAAACGTGCAGTTTCGTACACTGCAAATAAATAGATCTCCAGCAATAGTCGTTGGGCTACAAAGCACAAATATAAGTTAAAATAAATTAATATGTTCATTTATGATAAAAAAAACATGCCCAATGAACTAACTGGAGGAAATGGTTTCATCGAACTAAAAATCATCTATCTTCAATTAATTTTTTTAAACAATTATTGATATTCCCTACAGTTATTATGGTTCTATTTCCGCTAAACCCGCTAATATATCAGGGTTACCAATAACTTTCTTCTCGTCTATCGTGAAATGCCCCAATGGTCAGAACAATCTCGTTTCTGGAGAAATTAAAAAGTCTGCGAAGCATGCATTCAACTACGTTTGACGTCTAATGAAACGTTGGCGTCCACTTAAAGTTTATTCCATCCACGTTTTCAGCACCTACAACTATAAAATGAACTTCGCCAACCAGAGTTGAATATTTAGTGAACTGATTAAACAAAACGAAAGAGTAACATACGGACTTCCTGAAGTATAACGTGGAGAATATACAAACGAGTTTTTGACGCTAAATTTCTTTGGTCACGATATAAAAGAAGACACATTATGATCCCTTTCGATTAATTATTCTTACGACAAATTGCATTAAATTCAAAGGTCAACGATGAGGCATTGACCATTTACAGCGACGCTCTTAACTGATAATAATATATAAATCCATTGTCGCCTTTTATAAATTTACATGAAAAATATAAAAATATATACCACCGAAACATTGGACATGTCTGAGCAGTAACTAGAGCCGACACCTGTCTGGATACTGCTCTCTTCGGCCTGATGATCTTCGGGTCAACTTTATCTCAAATTGTATTTTATGAAATGAAAACATTAAATACTTAATACATTCTTCTATAAATATTAGCACCCTGCATGCCCCGAGGATATATACAGTATGAGCAAGGCAGGTAAATAGAGGAAACTTAAGCTTTGGCTAATTCTCAATAAGGCGAGTTTCAGATATATCGTGGGATGTTAGGTGCTTTATGGTGAGGTTTGTAACAGCCTCCCAGATTTAAAATAAGCAATAAAGGTGATTGAATAATATTTAGGGGAAAAACCCTTGTTTGGTAAGTATCCCTCATTTAAAATGTCTGATCATTAGAGAGAACAACAAAAGAACTATGGCGTTAAGGATATTCCAAGCCTTGTAACCCGGTCATAAGCTCCAAAAGTATAGTTGCTGACCTTTGGGATGTCGTATCTGACTGTCCCAGCCTAGGTCACCAAAAGAAAACAGGTTAACTAATGAAGTACTATCGAGTGCTTCAGCGATTTTTTCGTAACCTTACGAGCATTTTCACGAAAGTTTGCCGGTTATGATACATGTTTCCTCATTAAAACCGACAAAGTGGCACACTGAAGGATGCAGAACCTCTCAATTGGCTTGTAATGTAGTCCATGAATGTGCTGACATAAAAATCTATGCAGTAGCCGTTTCTCCTCTGTCTATTGATTTACAAATTTAGAAATATTGGTACAGGTATGTAACAACTGATACAGTACAAAATAAATTACGATCAAAGATCTTTACATCTTAAAAAAATTTTAACAGTTAACTAATGGTAATTATCGCCGCACCGCTCTGAAAGTAAAATATTTGATTAAATACTACCTAATGGAAGACACTAATTTGCTCCGTCTATGAGAATGTTGACTTGAAGGGCCAGGACCTGAAATAACGAGAAAAGAGTGTATTAGAAATGCCAACTGCAAAATCTTAATTGGTGCTTCTTATGTTTAGCACCTTAGTCGAGTTTTCGGTTAAGGAAGAAAATTTCTAAAATTATTTATCGTTAGAAGCTGATACTTCTCATAACATGGTTTTCAGGAAGAATCTGATCAATTTCCAGTGTCTTGGAGCACAATCTCCTGGTAACAGAGTGGTTTAAAATCCAACGAACTGATTAAATCTGATGGTTTCCCTATCCAAAAGCAGGAAAAAGGAACCAAAGCAACAAACTGTATGTGATAGTAAAGGGAAAATACGCCTGCGGGAGCTTATAAAAGATAAAACAATGAACTCACTCTTAAAGCCTTCGTACTCCTCGTCACTGACGGGGGAAATTTCTCGCCCATCATATTGGTGACTACTAGATGACGTAAGCGCCGACGCATTTGCTTCAGTAGCAGGGTGAGTGCCTATTGGCATGCTCACACCAGTGATTCCCGTCAGGGGACTGTGTGCGTGTCTCATTTGACCTCGAGAGTACATTCCTTGCATTAAATGAGTCCCACTGGGGGTAGATAAGCGTCGATGCGGTGTGTCATTCTGTAGCAAGAAAAGGAAAAGATGAACACGACGGTCCCACTACTAACTTATACACTGGCTGAAACCACATTAATTGCTGATTACAATTTCCCTTGAGGAAGGCTACTGCAGGTTGTATTATTAATTGAGAATTGTTTACAGCCTCAAGCTAACATCTCAATCAAACTTACTCTCAATGAATGTGTTGCTATTGATGTATTTGGCCTTGACGACTCTGTAACATTCCTTGCTCTGTCTTTAAAAGATTGCCTTGAAAAGTGGAAAAGAACTGTAAGGACAAATTACTCCTTTAAAAGATAAATTAGTTCACCTTGGGAAATGTGACTAGAGTAGCAAGACGCAAAAAATGATGCAGAGCTGTCACAAAAAGATAGATTATCACGAGGAAAACAGACGAGCTCTGCATCCACTACATGTAACTATTATTCTCTCAGACACTGATGTATTACCTAGAATCATCTGTTGCGGCACTTGATGCACGTGACTGGCGGAACGAAACTTGTTTCTGAAAGAAAACGATCCACTACTTAGGAAATCCCTACATGATGTCACAGTCACTTGGAAAATGCGATAAAATAACATAGAAATAAATTACTTACCGCGCTATTTCTTCCTCCGTTATGTTGAACAGGCGTCTCTCTGCTACTAAAACCATCTATTGGAGGGAGAACGAAGTTTCTTCCCCTAAAGAAAAAAAAATGAGTTAAACTTTTTCGTATATTTCGTGACAATTGGTGTGTGGTCACGCGTTCTCGTTGAGTAGAAACTAGTTCTTTATCATCAGTACAATGTAACACCCTTACGAATACACCTCTCACCGATAACACTCCAAATGCCAAAGGTGTGGGACGTATCTGATTCTATACCTGAAGGCCTTTTTTATGAGAAATTACAATAATTTTTTTGCTTTATCTTCTTGTGACTCATGACCGTAGACGGTGTACATCGGCGCAGTTAATATCATTTAAATGTGTAAGTCTCATCAACAGCTTGCAAACTAATCATCCGCCCACTTACATGTAAGGCGCAGGAGAATTTGAATTCGTGGCTTGAGGCGGAGATGACAGTCTTTCTTTCTCTGGAAATCTGAAAAAAAGGACAGTATGAGTTCGATATTCGAGCCTCTTTCTTAGGGCCGATTCATGAGATCAAACGTTATAATTCTTAAGAAAAAAAAACAACCTCGCATACAAACAAACTTACAATTTCCTTCCTTGCACGATACCGCCCATGACATCATCCTAAACGGAACAAATACATCAATAGAAAATTAACATCATCTAACAAGCCAAAACAACATCAATAACGGATATAAAATGGACAAGGATAACCTGAGCTAAAGTTCAAGTGTTAATTTTTGACATGAAAGGGTCAGAAATAGTAGACATCGTTTGCTCAAAACCCTCCTTAAAGAAATATAATCTATAGTGTAGAGAACATATCTCAAAATAACCGTAATCAATATATATTTTTTTAATAAACACACTTTGTGTGTATCAAATGTCATCGATCTTTTAATTACTTAATGGAATTTATTTATTTCCTTGTTTGTTTTGTGTTCATTTGCAAGTATTTATTCATTCTTTGTTTCAAGTTTAACTAATGCATTGATTGATATCGAGAAGGGTATTAGGGGTAGGTTCATTAAGAACGGGGAGAGGGGAGGGGGGGGGGCGCGCAATTCAATATTAAGACGGAACACTACATGTGCGGTGCTCTCAGGCATCATTGCGGTACTTATTTCACGTACATGTATTGTCTAACATGCATTTGTGGGTACGTACCTGGACGCTGGGTGTTTTAGGTTTACTGCTGTCCGGATGGGTCAAGCGTAGTATACTTGGTAAGTTCCTGAAAGGAAAAACAATTTTATACTTATGGAAAAGTTTGCAAACAAGAGAAACAACAATCCGTGCTGAAAAGTCTTTAAATCCCAAACTGTGTCATAAAAGAAGTAAACCTATGAACATTTTCTTCTAAAGTTCTTCCTATAACTGTGTCTTTGTTGAGTACAATTAGGAACACTAGGAACACATGAGTTCTGCCACTTCAATTCAGTCGTTTATGTGATCTTCACGCAATTGAACAGAGAAGAAACCCTACTTTATAATCCGTTGATTTTTGGAAGGTTTCTGTTGATTCAACTAAAATTTGTCTTTCTTGATTTTTGATTTGTTCGTTTATTTTCTATGAGAAGGCATTCTAATTCCACCTCTCAACCTCCTACTTCCACACCTCTGACTTTTCGAGCCCCATGTTTGAGGTAAGACAACATGAATCGCCTAGCGAAGAATGCCTTCATTTTAAACTTGACCTTGTACAGCTACCGCTGAATGAGCCGGAGTACGACTGTATAGACGAACATGCAATGATTTTATCAGACAAACCTATTTCTCTTAAATGGCATCATCTTGTGCATGAATGGATCTGAACTGTGCTGACTGATCCGTGTAGAACGTGAAATCACTGTGCTGCTGGACCCTGGCCGGCCCTTTGAATGATAAAAGCAACCTTTAATTGATTTCCCGACAATTAATATCATGTGTATTTGCAATGTCACACGACTAAAACGCTGCCTGAATGACTATGTACATATACTGTAGGTTAGAGGATTGCATGACAGGAAATCATACGTTTTCATCATCGATTTTATACTAGCTACCAGAAACATACCACATTTATGTATATAAATACATTTTACTTTCATACCTCCAAGAAAAAAAATCAACAAGCACAGTTTTACCATTTGGCCAACAAGAATTTAAAAGTAAAGACGGAATATCAGACAAACCGGATTAAAGGGGGTCCCTTCTCTGCTGTCAAGGGCGCTGCAAATATGGAATAGAGATTCACTTTAAAGAGTAATTTTCTTTAAATAGTGATCCTGTAAGTTACAACAGAAGCTACTACATTGAACATGTTGAAAACACCAAATTCAAACTGCCTGTGACGTGTAAGCTATCTCTTCCTTAAATCACCATGCAGTATACACACAGAATTTCCTTGCTATGGACAAATATGTACATATACGTGTATCACTCATTACTTACTGAGAGGTGCTTGCAGAAGGAGCCCTTGGATTTAAAGGCATTGGTCGCACCTTCATTGCATGAATCAAACTACTTTGATCGGGTGGGGGGTTGAAACTTGAAAATGTCTTTAGTCTTGACTGCAGAAAAAAAAATGTTCATAAGGAGAGTCAATACATGTATGTGATATTAAGAAGTACAATAAAAAGTACAAGGAATAAAGCACAAAGAGTTAGAAAAAGGCCATACAACCATTGAAGTACAATGAGGGATTTACTCCCGCTCACCTGGGAGGAAAAGTGATTCCTTGACATAACACTTTGGGAAAATGGCCGAAGGGGGCTCTCAATGGCACGATCAGAAGAAACCACCACATCAGCAAGAAACTGTGGTTTGTCTGTAAAGGTGCATAAAAAAGGCCCAGTGATTTAGTGTGGACACCTCAGACAGAAATACAAAAACACAATGATAAAAGATTTATCAAAAACAATTATTGAATACAGAAAGCATGACATACTTTCATGAACCAATGAGGGCATGCTTCTTACATGTACCCCTACATGCATTTACATGTAGGTCTGCAGTATTTGTTACCCAATCTCAATTCTGTTGTAACTCTAAACTGTAATTTAGATTTGTTGTTAACATTTGCTTAAAGCTAAACAGCTAAAATTTAAAAACAGTTTCACAAGTCTTATAAAACAAAAACTTACAATGATACACTACCAAGCAGAGGTGTTATAGGTGAATAAAACAAACTAAATTATTTAACACTTAATATACCATACCTCTTAGCACTTTTTGTGAGTAGAGACTTAACAAACTTCTCAGCCATAAAACCACCTAAAACAGTAATGAAATCAACATTGATACAATTCAATAAAAAACTGTGATTAATTATTGAGGGCAGTCTTCTGCTGAAGAACATGTGAGTTTCAAAAGAACATTACCTGAATTCAAAAAAATAAGAATTGCGGTGTACATGACAATAAAACTTAAGGAAAGTGAAGGGCCAGGATGTTCCAGGATGTTTGAATCATGGCTGGTAATAATTTGTACTAAGCTTTCATTTTTAATGAGCTTTTAAATTATCCAACCTTGCTTTTAAAAACCTGCAACTACTGCATTTCAATTCTCATGAAGATGCCAAAATATTTATTGGGTTACTTCCAAGAAATATACAGATCTTATACGTACAAAATGTGTTCAAGTGTTCTGATTTGACTCTAAATCATGATGGGGAATGTCAGCTTACCTCTCCCCAAACTTGGTCAAACATCTGGCTGACAACAGTATCCTTAGCACAAGCATTGGGGGTCACAGGGGGGTAACCTCGTCGCTGCTGACGGCGATACCTCATACCAGTTCTGGCTTCTGTTCCCTCTTCCTCTCTACAGTGCAAAATAAGTACATATAATTAAAATAACCAATAAGTTTCAGACTACTGTTAAAAATGAAACAAAAAAAACAAAGAGTAAGAAAAGTATAAAATGTATAATTATTTAGGGTAAATCTTTACTTTATAGTAATTTGTCTACCATGCATCAAATATTTTACTGTATATCATCACTCCTATAGTTGTAATAGTTTCATTTGGCGCAGCAAAAAAACAGAGTTTACCCTTTCAAGTATTGTGCATCATAACATTTGTTTGCTTTTGATGACAGGAAATATAATGTCAGCATGTACATGACTTGCAAGCTTTGCCAATTATAATTATTGTCAATAACCATGTTGAAACTTACATAGCAGGTTGGTCATAACCAAAATATTCTTCTACTTCACCATCTTCTGCCAAGATCTCTTCTTCAAACTCTGAATAGAAGCCATTCATTTCATCAGCTGTAAGAATAACCAGAGGCATAATGTATCACATCACCTTGGTGTTATATGGTATGCTGAGCATGCACAATGTATACATTATGTGGATGTATACTTGGTTAGGTGAACTTTCCATGTAATGGATAAAAGAATCATGTTTTTGGAGAATTATACCAACTGTTGTATATATTACAATGTACATTACTGTCAATATTTAAAAATGCATACAGCCTGCAGAGTTTGTGGGCCTTTATCTGTCTATGTTTGTTCGCTTCAATTTCTTTATAATCTTAATTTCTCAGATTAAGATTCTAATGAATACCAGACAAAAGGAAAAGACAATCATTTGGTAGAAATATCTTGATCTTAATGACATTGAGCCTAACAGACAACTACAAGTTTAAAATAACAGTACATGTACATGGTTGAGAGGACTTCAGATATCACATGTACAACCTGCTGCCATTATATACTACTGGTCACCAATTGCAAAAAATCTCTGCATGTAACACAAATTACAAAATCTAAAAGTAATCCAAAAGTGCATCCAGTCTGCTCAAAGTAACAAACAGCAATTTACATTGTAATTAACAACCACTAATTCTGTCCCTTAGAAGCAACAAATACATATACATGCAGAGCATCTTAAAAGGTTATAATTGAGGTAAATCTAAAAATATAACAGTGCTACACCAAATACATTACATTACCACATTAATACCTGTATTATAGGGTAATTTTACAATTTTCTACTGTACATTGTATACAAAATTTTTGTATAATTGTAAAATGTACCCTATAATACAGGTAAATCTGCTTTTGCTACATCATTCTATAAAATAATTATTATGTGTCATGTACATATAATTTGCCCTACTGGACTTCCACAAGTACACATGTTTACTGTGCCCATCATTTCTAATATTTTTGCAATCTATTAGAGTTACTTAATAGAGTACAACAAATTGTTGAAATACAATTGTTCTCACCATTCATGTAAGACTCTGAAGGCTCTGGCAATGGATCAAGATGAAATCCTTGAATGCATAAACTAGAAGCAAAAGGATAATGATCTATTTTTAAATTACTTTCTAATTAAAGAAGACTCAGATAAGACTGAACCCATATATACGAATAACAAAAATACATGTTATTCACCCACCCAGTACAGGCAGACCTCCTTAAAAGGAACAGAGCTGTTCATTTTATGCCATGGAACCAAACACCTCTTTTCTAGTTTGTGGTGAACTATGTGTATATATGTCAAATCAAAGTTACCCTTGTGAATCAAAAGCACCAAATTCCTCCACATCTTCAAGAAAAGATGTCTGTGGTCGCTGGTTGTCTATCCTTGGCTCCCCAGCTGGAAATGGAATCAATTGAGTACCATCGTCCTTGGGATTGAGCAATTGATAACCACAGATTCTGCAGGGAAATGAAGGAGACCCCTCAAATAAAGTGTCACACTATGTAAGAAGCAAAGAAAACTACTCATTGACTATAGCATGTTATAGCTTGAGAAAGGTACAAGACATCCAAGATATTCAACTGGCTCAAAGCCTACCTACATCAATAAAATGGTTGTTCTTGTTCTCACGTGAATGTGATTTCATTTACAAGTTAACATGCATGTTTTATTTCATTTTTTCCTTTTTTAACCTGAGGTGCAAAAATAAGGCTGATTCTTAGTGTAATGATTTATCTTTTTAACAATCTGCCTTTACCAGGTAATGATGTAGTCAAGTTGCATTGAGATAGCTGGAAAGTGATCTCAGAGACTCGTGACTTTTTCTCTCTTACACATAAACTGGGTGAATGCGGTGAGCAGATAACAAATAACACCTACTAGTATAAAAATCCTGTGCTGCATTCTTAACTAGCTGGATTCACATGTTGATAAATGTAATTTAATGTTGCATTAATCTTTGCCCACGTCTTCCAACTCAACACAAAGTAATATGGTGATGGCAGACAAAAGATATCACTGTCATTGTCATCTACTGCAGCCGTAACACTTATTTTTAAGAACAAAGCGCAATGAATTAGCTTGGTGCATTTTTGCAAAAGCTTGAGAGTATGAGCATTATTCTTTCATCATAGGGGTACTTAATGAAAATTTCACAAATTGTATAAAAGTCATAATACATGTACTTTAAGGAATATTTTACATGTAAAAGAAATTGATAGTTAGTGGAAAAGCTCACAGGTTTACTGATCTACATACAGGGGTCTAATTAAACCAATAATTCAATGAGGCTGACAAAATTGTATACAAGTTCATACAAATTATTGATCATCAGCAGAGAAAGTCATTTTCTAGTGATGGGATTTACTAATGAAAATTCAGTGCATTTTGTTGTATTTTTTACTATATTTTTTGTTATCCTTTGTTGTCATGTAAACTGCCAATTTAATCATTGTTTCAGGAAACATTTCAAACTTAACTTGCTGATAATAATTAAAATAAAATAAAAGGCTAATTACACGAACGCATACATTTCCCCTCCCTTATTAACTGGGAAAATGAAACATGGAAGCATATTAACAATCAATTATGAACAAAATACATACCGCAGATGTGGAAATCGCTTGAACCATTCTTCACATTCAGACAACAGTTGAGGGCTTCCTGTCATGAACAAATCATCAAAGATTATTAATAACAGAGCTGGTACCTTTGGGTGATCAGATTCAATTTTCCTGCATGCTTCATAAGTTCCCTCAGTGCATTCTGATTGAGACATGCACAGAATACATACTGATGCATAGCAGAGGGGAGTTTTCTTCGAACAACATTTAAACTTAACCTGCCCTTGACACAAGTCAAACAAATAAGTTTGTTAAGTTTGATCTTCTTATTAGCCATTTGAATACTCTTGTCATTTTAGTAGCAACTGAAAATCATCTGTGCATATGGCAATGAAAAAGGGTAACATTTATAATGGAAATTAACTGTCTTATCTCAAATTTAAAAACCTTACGTAATAGGCGATTACATGACATAGCTGTGTTAATGTTTAAAGTTAAAAATGATCTGTGCCCTAATAATATCAGGAACCTGTTTGTTATTAATAACAACAAATATGATTTAAGAAACAATGATTTCATTATCCCTAGAGTTAGTACTACGCGCTATGGTAAGCACTCTCTTAGGTACTTAGGTCCAGTAATCTGGTCTAAGTTAGATGGAAAAATAAGAGCACTAAGAACGCTGCAAGAATTTAAAAACGCTTTACATAAAGTAGATATACAAAGTTTAATCTCTTCGAATAATTGCAAGAACTGTATTTTATGTAAATCTTAAATATTTTAAATATTATCAAGATCATATTATTGTAATTATTATTATCTTATTATCTCATTATATTAAGGTTATTATCTTATTATACAGGGTAGGGTGTTATAAACATGGGGTCTACTATTTCGGGGTAGGGTGGTTTTATATGGGAAGAGCTCTTTTATCATTTCCAATAAATTTTTAATGCATAGTTTTATATAGATTAGATTAGTTTAGTTTAGGTGTCCTTACTTAGTGGGAAACTGCTATCTCATTTGACACGTAAATAAAGTTTATTATTATTATTATTATTATTAAGTGGGAAAAAAGTTAATGAATATAGATGTGTATCAATGATATATACTCATCTGTAATTAAAAACAGTATTCTTGATTATTCTTATTCATGTCATGTATCAATTAAAATTGTCACTAACCATTGAAATGCATTCCTTCAAACAGCATTCCATCAATTTCATCAAACATCCGTTTCACTGTTGCTGAAGCCTGTCTATCGAACTCCTTGATGATAAAGTAATACACAATATACATGTTTGGTTCTCAAAAGTCTCAGAACAAATATTACTCAAACACTTTTCCAGGAACTGTGAAAGACCTGGCTTTTATACAGTACAAAATAAACGCATTAGCTACGATACAAGTTGTAAATTACAAACTCACATCCTCATTTCCCCAAGAGTATACACTGCTTCTTCCAGTAAGTATCCCTGTATTTGTCGACCATGTGTTTGACTCAAAAAGTCCATTACCAATACTTGGAGTATTGTCAGTAGTGGGTGATGATTGACCACTGGTGTCAGGGGTGATGTTAGTGAAGTTGCTGCTGTGAATTCTCTCAAAATAGGACAAAGGCAAGGATTCCTCTGGTCTCTCAGGGAGAGGATGGAGAGCATCCACACTACTGTGAGAAAATCCACGGCTAGCAATAGAGATAAAAATAAAGAATATGTTGAATATAGAAGAAAATTTAAGAAAGGTATGTTATGAATCACATACATGAAGGTCAGTAAAGGAAGTATAATTATATTAAGTCAGCTGTTACAAGCACAACAATATAGCATAAAAAGGTATTGTGGTAATAGCAGAGCACGCAGAGCGTAGCCCCATAATTATACAAAATAGTAGTAACCCATCAAGCCAAAAAAATTTGGATATATGACTGTATGACTGTACAACTGTACGACCATACAACTGTATGACCATACAAGGTGCTACTCTTAACATGCGAGGTCAAATGTACCGTGGGCACGCCAATGCCACGGCTTTGTTCAGTAGTCTGGTGGTCAGTGCACTTGGCTCCGAGTTGGACGACCCAGGTTCTAGTCCTGGCTAGGATATGGCGTTGTGTCCTTGAGACATGTGGGAAAAAAAAATGCGAGCTCCGCTTTTAGGCTTGGCTAAATCTATATATTTTACAGCAATGTAAAGGAAGATGAAAATCAAACCACAGTAAAAGCACTTTGAAGCTCTTTTTCCAAAACCACCATGTTTCAATCTGGGCTAAACAGTTGGCCACAAAAATTATCTGAAGTTCTCTTTGTCTTCAAGTCTACAATTGGATTCACTTTTTTCTAAATTATCTTACCAATTCAGAACCATTAAACAATAAATTTTATCTTAAATTTTTGGTGCTGGGAAAGAAATAGAGCTTCAATTTAATTAACATATTCACTTGACACCTATTTTCCAGTGAATTGACTTTTCAGACAAAAATCATTTAATAATAGTAAGAACAAAGCTGGTTCATAGCTCTTTAAAATCTAGTCGTATCCCTTATTCTGTGGTTAGATTTTGAGCTTGAGGTAAAAACTTGCTGTTACGGACATTACACAATTTTTGTTGCAGACATTACACTGGAAAACTTTTTTTTACACCAGTAAGAACAAGGTAATGTTTTTGTTTATTTATCAACTTCTGATAATTAATTTTGTCAGAACTGATAAAGGTATTCTTAATCAGGCTTAATTACAAGTTAATCCTCTTTTCTGGTTGTGCTGATAACCATAACATTAATACTACAGTTTGTGTGTACATGTGATTGTGGTCTGCAGAGTATCCCCTATAGAGTGTGCTTCTCACCATTCAATTTTATTGAGCAAGCTCTAACTAGTATTTCTGCTGTTGTTTGTTTCTTGCTTTCTGAGATACAGTGCAGATTAGATTTCTAGTATGAGACCAAGTTTTATTTTATATTGTCCACAAGAAAAGTCTTCTATGGCTCTATAGAGCTAAAGACATTAGACCTTTCAATGTTCCAAGTCTTTCATATATTGAGAGGCTGTTTAACTATTTTCAAAAAGAAAATGTTTTCAAATAAATAGTCAAACTAACTGTAGATTGCAGTACTTAAACATTGCTTTAATTTCTGAACTTGGATTGTAATGAACTCCTTGTCAGAGTACTATTCATTGAATCTTAATAAGCTAGTTGACACTATTTTGGAAAGTTACACTGCACAGAACAGTATGAATTGGCAATTTCCTCCGTAGTATGAGGACAGTCATTATCACTGCAATGACCTTTGAAAGTTGAAGTATTGTTTGTTTTAAACTACATTTTTGAAACATTTTTAATTTATAATCTTCAGATATTTTAAAAGAAGGTACTGACTATTAACATGATATGTCTTTCAGTAAGCTTGTTTCACAAATGGACATAAACTTTTTGAAAATGTGTACTCCTCATGTCACCATGGTGTTGCAACTGTTAATGTACAGTTGTTGTTATGGTTATCATTATAAGTGTTTAATTAAAAGCACTGTAAACTTGGATGTGATAAATTTGAACAAAATTGGTTTGCATGAAGCATTTATTCCTTCCAAAAGAATTACAAGAATAAAATTCATTTAGTCATAACGTCCATAATGTAATTTTCGTAATGTTATATCTGCAATGTAATGTCTGTAAGACAAAGTAGGCTTTATTTTTTCTGGCGTATTTCCAGGATTTTGATAATTCACAGCACTTAGGTTTGGGCCCCTAATAACTGAAAAAGGTGCCAGGCTTACAAGAAAAAAGGGTTTTATTTTCAGAGAAAACAAAGAAAAAAAATGTTATTGTTACAGACATTATATAGTGTCTGTAACAAAATTGTTACTTGCTCTTATTTACAAAGTAAATCCATTTTGGAAAAAATCTTATCAGCAAGTTTACCTTTGTGTTGAGTTCAATTAGTTTTGTTCCCTTGGTGAGATTTTGCGAATAAAAATGTCTCACTAAAATCATTTTACAGCATGCCAGCTATTTCCACACACTTTTCATTGTACAAAAATAATCAGCCTCTCTTTGTCATTTCCCACAAACTCAACTTTCAGATTACTATCTTTAAAATAATTTAGTCTCCTCACTCCAAAAATCCATCATTGGGCTAGATATGAAATATTTTAAATTTCACCATTTAAGCAGTTCTAAATTATGGAATGGCCCTAATATTAATCCTGGAATCTGAAAATGTCATTTCAAAATAAAAATCAAGTCTACTAGAGTCTACAGTAACACAAAGCACAGCAGTACTGCACGTAAAATTATACCATTTCAGTATACCAACAAACATACGTGTAAACCCCATTTGAGCAGGACAGTATAATGGACATTTAATCCAGAGGAGAAAGCTTGTAAACTTTGTTTTACGAATATTGAAATCTTTGATTAATCTCTGCTTTTCAAGACGCTCAGTATGAAATAACAAATCCTTAAATATTTCCGTACTTCTTAATCTACATGCACTAAGACCTATAATAAATATAGCACTTAAAACGCGCATATATTCATTTGCATGCTTGTCTTAAAAAAATGTTTTGTGTACTAGTACACAAAAAGTGTGTAGTAGCCGGAGAACTAAGGGTCAAAAAGATGATTTAGTCGGCGAATTTGTTTGTCTGCTAATTGATAGGCAATTAATAGATAATCGTTGAGCAATTGGTCGCCAAAATCACGGCAAATTTTCACCCAGCTCCATCATTTCGTGTTCGACGATTAAAGCAATTTTCATTGAGCGCTGTAGATTTAGTCATGGTTTGACTTCACAGATACTCATATCGTAATAATTAAACTCACATCTCAAGAGGATGGGTCCTATTCGTCATTTCTGCATTGTGCGAGAAATGCAAAATTCCACTCCGTTCGGAGCTGCAGAACACAGCACGTCCATGACAACAAAGCTTGCAACGAGATTGTGTCCCTCATCTCGTCCAGATCCACACTTTCATTGCTTTTTTTAATCTTTATCTATTTTCATGTAGGCCCTTAGAACTTCCGACGTGAAGTCAATCGCTCAGATCACGCTTAACACTGAAAATCTTGACTCAATTTCCGATATTGACTCTTACAAAAGTTCCCAAAACAACAAAATTAAGCCCAGTTACAAATTTCCCAGTAGACTATGCGCGGGTTAAGTGGTCGAGTGGTTACAAAGCGCACCTCTACCCAGGTCTCCCCCTGCCGATTTCCTTATTGAGCTTACACAGAGTGATCAACAAAGTGCCTTAAAATTGAGAATTCCCGATACCAATTAGCGGAATATAAGGTGGAAAAAGGTAATTTTAAGCTTAAAAATTTTAAAAATGTGTAAAAGCGAGAGTCAAAAGCAATCGTTTTAAATTGCTGCGTAAACAATTGTCACGCAATACCCATCAGCAGTCCAGGAGTGCAAAACAAATGATAATGAACAAAAATAAACCAAGATCAAAGAAGTTGCCGAGTCAGAACTAACTTGAAATTTCAACTGTGTAATTCAATGGAAAGACTGTTAGTTTCATTATAAACATCAGAGGGGTAAGCTCAGACATCTGACTTTCCAAAATTGATTAAACAGATGAAACTCATCAGTTTCCAAAGCTTCCAGACGAAATAAACATACATTAAAAGGAATGAAAGAAAAGCCGAAACAGCCCATTGTTTTCTTAAATCACAAGTTGAGGTGAGATCTGAATAAAGGGGTAAGTTTCTAAAGAAACTGTGGTGCTGTGTCGGTGGGAGAGTATAACAGGTAATTTAGTGTTAACAACTGAGTTGAAAACGTAAATTAGTCACCGCAAAGGGTAAAAAAGCTGACGTTTCGAGCGTTGGCCCTTTCGTCTGATGAAAGGCTAACGCTCGAAACGTCAGCTTTTTTACCCTTTACGGTGGCTAATTTACGTTTTTAACTCAGTTGTTAACACTAAATTACTTGAGGTGAGATCGTCTATCTCGATACGACAAATGAATGAGGGGGTCAGTTTCTAAACAACTGTGGTGTCACAGTCATTCGCTCCTACGAAGGGCTAACGCTCAAAACGCCGGGGGTCAGCTTCAGAAACTTTTAACAGTGACCTTAGTCGTTGAATAAAGGCTGATGTTGAAAACATATTACAGCAGTTTAAAAAATCATGAAAAATAATATACGAATATATCGAAAAGATCTGAATCCCATCTAATTTAAGATCGCATTCTCGGTCAACTTTATCAGAACCTAACATTCGCTGCCGAACTCGACAGAATGCTCGGTTCGTATACAGTATCTCACAAGTGTTCTCTAGAATGCGGTTCTGTTTTAAATTAAAGTTTACAACGCTCGATTTATAGCTTGAAACAAATTAAAAATTAAGTCTATACATTTTAAGAAAAACCTAAGTGGGGAAATCTTTATCGACCGGTTCAAAGCGTGCAGAAGTCGTCATAAAAATTGTCCTGTTCGAATTTAGAGTTAGTATACATTTGCGGCACGATTTATAACACTAAGTATCGTTATAGGCTCCGCTGAATACAGAAAAACAAGTTGGTGTAGCCATGGTAACATTAGACTGTTAACTTGTTACGCGAGTCGTATAGCAACGACCGCAACAAACTTGTTTGAAAATCGTTAATAATTTATTACAGAAACAAAGGCAGTTCTCTTTTCGAACTGACGCATTGATAGATTGCCTAAGATTCAAAGAATGGGTCAAGCTGAGGAAACAGAATAATGGGAAATTAGCTTTTTTATAAATGAAATCGCACGCGATGATCAGTTTTTTATCGCATTACTTTTGCGACTTTGTGGAACCACATGTTAAATATCTAAACCTTAGATAATTCTTGCTTAAATTTTCAATATCCAACCGAGTTTTTTTTAATTAATATTGTGTACCCTGGGCACTTTACAAGATATCTCCGGTAATTGCTCCATATAATTGGTGGAAAAGCGAATGCCATGTCATCTAGATACTCTTCAATTTAAATTTTCACTCTGGCTTCCGACCGAAATGAAGTAATTTTTCTTTTTTTTTTGGCTCGGTTTAGGAGTTATCCCAACGTGAGAGTTCCAAATAATTTCAATGAATTTCTAATAATTTCGTCAAAGATTTGACCATATTTGTATTTTATTTCTAAAAGGTTTACTTTCGATCCTAGAATCATAGACTGACGCCTTCATTCATATTTTCTCGATTCTATATTGAGGTGATCTTTTGCTTCAGTAATTGAAGCAGATAACAGGGGAAATATACTGCCCCTGAGATCTAAAGGAAAAAATTCTCGTCGTTGTATTTGCCCACCGCTAAGAATAATGACATGCAAAAACTATTAACGGGAAAGTTGAATTCTAATATATGCATCAACTGAATAGAATTTAATTGCAAAAACTCGAGATTATAAAGCGAAAGTAAGTCTTATAATATTCTGTCATATTAAGTCTATTTTACAGGCAAACTCTGGCCACGATTTCATTTCCTATCTTTGCATCTGTTTGACTTTATGTCACTGTGTTGTTGAAAAGCCATATGCCAAGTTATTTTACTCAATCGACACATTATTCTTAAAAAGGAGCCAACAGCATGCGAGCGTTAACACCGTAAATTGAAAATCGAAATGGCCTTACTTTTTCCTCCATTATTTGACTCTAGGCGGCGCTAAACTGACAGTTAAGCGAAGAACTGATTTGAGACATACAACTAACTAACGCTCAATGTTCATAAATATCCAATAGAAAATAAACAGTACACGACAGAATAGGCCAAAAAAGCAAACACAGCTATCGTAACTTATATTATACAATGTGATCACCAGAGCAAGGCGAATAAAAAAATAGGGCCAATTTTCATCTAAGGCTTTTTATGTTGGATCATAAGTGCACTTACGAAAACATGCCGGGAGCCTCTCTTATAGAGATCTTTGCTAAGCAACATAAATCACGCGAAATCACTCTCAACGGAAGAGAATGATATCCCACCTCTCCTCTCAAACGTGTGAGGCAAAGGAGATAATAAATGCACGGTCTTCGAACGGTATATTGATTTTATATGTCAAGCCTGTCTGTTTTGATGTTAGCATTTCCTGATTGTTAGTTATCATTTGGCGAAACAGGCATCACAAAGATATTCGTTCATTATACAAACTTTGAAAGAAAAATTACAAGTGTTGTCGGACGGAGTGAAAAAATATCCAGATCTCAACCTGGTTTTGAAATCTCACACTTTCGAAGCGGAACACTCTAGAAGTTTCTCCAACGCTTCCTAATTCAATATACTATTTCCGTTCGATTTAAATACTGAAAATTTCGAGTACGATTTTAGGTTGACGACCGTAAGTGTCACCTTCTGTAATTACAATTTCCTTTCGTAGTATTTTGAGCGATCTTTCGGGACCTTTATCGAAGCACATTTTGGTTTGAAATAACTATAAATAATGCTTAACAACACTTACCCCCTTAAGATGAACGAAATTTCTTTAGGTGTTTCGCGTCTCTTCGAGCGAATCACTGCCGGGAGGTACATGAAATCTCCCAAGAGCGTCATGAGCTTTGAAATCCATTCGATAGTATTCAATTCTTAGCAGAATTTTCTACGACTAGCGTTGTTTTGACTGTCTCTACTCTCGCGTGGTTGTGTTTCCTAGCGCCACTCATCACACATGCCGCGCGCCGCTTATTTTCGTTATTCTTTATAAAATGCACATTTTCAATTGTGCTTCCCGCCACGGGGCCCAAAACATACGGTCGCATCCGGGAGACTGCGCGAGAGGTAAACTAGCCCGGATGTGACGTGTGGATAAGATATTGAAAAGGAAAGAAATATAAAGGTGTAATATCTCTTTCCATTGAAAAACCTCCTCTTCATGCTCAGTTGACAAGCTGTAACGGTGTTGCTTACAACAATAACGCACGCGATGGCAACACGCAATCACTCCGTTTGACGTAGTTTTAAGCATTCAGTCGTATGGCATACACAAGAGCGGTTCCTTTTTGTGTTTTTCTTTAACCTTTTTTGTTTTTAGAAAGGGAGACAAGCAACTGTCTAAGAGAGCAAGAAAAAGGTTTGCAGACAGCTTTTTTCCAATTACACAAACTAACAAAAACTACTTATGCTGCAGCTATCCATTAAAAAAGTACTGACAGGAGCTGACAAATCGACCCAACCGATGCTTGAATTTTCCTGTTGTAATTAATATTCGTCTGGCATTTGTAGCATAAAAAGATTAATTGAAAAAAAAAACGTATATTTTCACTTTTAATTATCTTCTAAAACTTTCTTCCTACTGTACCTTTTATACTCAGGCAAATCTCGACAAGAAATTCAGCTTATTCGCTAGATATATATATATATGTATATTTTATTTTTCTAAAAGTAAAAAATCACTCATCCCTGACCCGTCAAACAATCTCTAAGGTTTGTTATTCTCAAACAAAGGACATTCTAAAGTCGTCATCAAGATCGGCGATAACCGCATTCACTTCATTGCTTTGGCAACTAATTAGTGATGTTTTCGTACTTTTCAGCCCTTTCTTCAAAATAAAGTTGATAGATCGGTGCATACTCTGCTGAGTATATTAGATACACATCTGAACATTAGCTTGATCGCGTAAATTTAAACTAGACAAGACGACCAAGACGTCATATTCTAAGTTTATTGTTGCCTCCCCGCCCCTCCCCCCTCAGATAAAAATAGTCTAACAAAAAAAAAAAGTAAACCATTACCGCTAATGTCGGCAGTACACTATTTTAAAAAGCAGGTGTTGTTATTCTTCACAAACCGCGTTCCTGAAAACCTCCAGCTCCGCTGGGATAAAACCTGACTAAAACACATTACCAACCATAATTAAAATTCAAATGATTCGGCGGAACCACATCTATTGACGACTATGTATTTTTAGAAATCATCCTCTACAAATATGTCAACTTAACAAACTAATAAAATGACCCATCCCACGTAAGACGCAAGTTTATTCGGACATTTTTAACATAAGAAAGCACATATTTAACAACCAGAGATTGGCACTTTTGTTCCGCGTGTTGTGGAAACCTAAAGTGCTCGAACTCCATAAAAATTCTTACATGCAAACTTACTTAGCACCTGCAGTGGTAATCACACTTCCCTTTAAATGTACATAATTTTTTACTGCGAAAAATGTTCTTGTATCGCTTAGAGGTCTTCACACTGTTATTCACTATACTAAGTAATAACTTAAGCCACACGAGTTACACTTCACACTTCACTGATCAATTTGTAAATGAGGTCAGTGTTAACAACCTGTGCGTGGTTAGAGCCAAAAACATGGCTGACGCTAATGACGTCACGTCAGAAAACACTCAGTTGTCAGCGCCTAGGCAATGTATATTTGTCGCAAGGAAACAATGGAACACGAGCCGTACGACAAGTTTGAATGGCTGTTTATCGCTGTGAAACATTTAAGACAAAAACAAAACGAGTCGACGTAGGGTCATTAATTCTCTCAAGGTTAAACGAGGAAACTAAATTAACAATGTGTTCACATGGACTAAGACGTTGCAAAAACAGAGACACAGAATTGTTTTAAAATTTTAAGGCGTCGAAACGTCGTCAAATTAGAGTTTTTACTTTAGCTCTTAACGACACGATACTATGGAAAAGCTAATCACATGGTGGTCTAAAGCTGAATTCAGCGAAGGGCGAACTTAAATTTGATAGATCCACTTACAGCAGACTACTAATAAAATGGTCATTTGAATTAGACCAACAAAACCATCAAATATCGAAAATGACTAATTTGTTATCAAAGTAAGTTTCGCCCACACTAATCGTTGTTGGGCTTTCGTCCGAACTTAATCGATGTTTTTGCTCAAAAGCGCCGATTTTTAAGTAGAAGTGACCTTAGAAATTTGGAAACTCCGACCAGCAGGTGCCATATTATAGACAGCTGGCACCAGGGTTGAGGTTGGATGTGTGCGATTTTTTTTATCGGGTTTCTTTTTTTTTTCGGTTTGGTTTTTTGCTTTTCGCAAATTTAGTGGATGCAGAGGCCTGCGAGCGTACGTGTTCAAACTACTCATACTGAAAGCACAACATCGCATAAAAAATACCCTTTTACCCATTTTCTGCCAACAAAAGAGTCATTTTTCATGTTACATTCAGTCTAATCAGTGTAGACTTACCCTCTTGAATGCTAGACCTAACAACTTAGCGTGATGTTTTCCCTCCATCTTACAGGTTATACAGGACATACAAATTGATTGGTCATCACCATCCATACCTTACCAATCTCAGTTACATTTTTGTATGTATGCATGACCTCATCATAGGTGCTGCAGGAAGCGTTTTTTCCCACCTTCGGAAAGATTTGAAAGATTTGTGGAGAGTCAGTAGTGCGGGGATCTGGCACTACTGATCAGTGCAAGACTTCTTGCCGACTCAAGTTGCTCATGGCTTTCTACTTTCCAGCCGGCAAAGAACCCACGTGCCAAAGCTCTAATCATAAGGGCTTGCTCGCACGCGACAATATTGTGGTGTTGGGCGGAGTCGCGAAGAGGTGAAGCCGAACAACGCCGTCGCTGGCAAAGCCGAGAAGAATAGTGCAACTGAAAAGTCGAGTGAACCTAAAAAGTTGAGCTACAAGAGATAGAGAAGACGTCTCAAGCAGAGAGAGAGAAAACGAAATTTATATTGTCATCGTCAAATTCTCTACGAAGGAAAATGTATCCCACCAACGATTGTGCGACAGCAATACCATCAAGAGCACCACAACGAGGGAAATTTTCTCGCACCAGAGAGAACTAAAAGCAAGTCATCAGAGAGCGCACTGTGAAGAACTCCCTATTTTTCCATCACTTTACTCATCCCTGATTTAAACGGCTATTCCGAGAAAGGTATTATAGTCCCAGAAGGAAAAGGAAAAGTAATCCTCAAATATTAAAATCCAGAAAGAAGTAGTCCTCGCTTAGGTGGAAAACGTACGTAACCGAGTGACATTAGTCAGAAGGAGAAGGAGGATCAACTTAACATTATTTCATCATATCTTCACCAGTTTTCTCATTTTTGGGTGTTTTTTTCTTTTTCGGCCGATCGTTGCAGATGCCTTTCTCTTTTGAGTAAGTTGCCATGCCACGGTTGGTTAGTCGGCTTAGGTGGCCTGACGAGATTCGTTGGTCAGTCTGAACTTTCGGATGATCCTCTTAGGGATCATATAGTTGTGGACCTGTTTCCACAGGGCCATGAACCGAAAAACGGGCATTGAGGTGGTGGTGATATAAACTCTTTATCATCAATGGAAAGGAAAGTTGGCCAGTTTTACACTTCGTTCAGCATTGGAAGAGAAACAATTATGCCAACCTTATCAACCTCGCCTCAAATAAAGGTTGTACATGCAGACTAAGATATCTCAGTCAGAGCGGAGAAGGCCCCATACAACAGAGTTTCACATCCTGAAGCTCTTTTGATATTATGACAGTCTCGAGAAAGACAAGAAGATTCCTTTAAAACAACGTTAAGAGTATACCCATATGAAGTTATAAATCCAAACGCGCGTGCTGCTGTTTCCGGCGCATACTTCAAATTAGGAGGCAGAGCATGCTCAGGAATTGATTTCTATCTGTACAATACACTTCGACAGCTTCGTTCTACTCTTGCGATCGTGTCAGCTTGACAAAAATTAGCTGGTAGGACCGTTTTTCGGAGGAGGTGTTTTTTTTTTTAACAACTTTATTGGGTTTATAACATAGTACTAACTACAAAAACATATTGCATAGGGACAAAAATAAATGAAGATAGAGACAAAAATAATTCTGACCCAGAAGGGCAGGTGCGAACGGGACTGACGTCATATACGAGGCACCGCCCTGTAGCTAAAATACAATAAAACATGAGAGATCTAAATTACAACAAGTTTGTGTGGCGTCAGCTGCACCTATAACTTGTGGCGCGAGCAAGTTCTAACTAATGTCCACGTGCAAGACCAGTCAATGTCAAATGACGTTCTCAGGTGGTCAAAAAGTGTTTTTTTAATAAAAAGCTGGAAGGAGAGAGGACTCGAAAAACTAGAAGAAGGAGCAACAGAACAAGAGTAATTACATAGTTTCAAAATGCAATTAAAGTAGGAGGCCTGAAAAGTGCTCGTTTTACAGATTGGTGTTTTTAAATTAAAGGAGTTGCTTAGTCTTGTATGGCTGTGGGAAATAAAGTTTGTGAAACCATGTACATCAAGGTGAGTATGATTAAATAAGCACTTATAAAAGAATACCTAGTCTTTCAGTTCTCTATCATAGGTAAAAGGGAGTAAGTCTAGGGTTGTAAGTCTATCTCTGTAGGACATCTCGCCAATCCGGGTTTGTGAGATCCGTCTGGTAGCGCGCCGCTGCACTCGCTCGACTTGTGCCTTCAGGGAAACCTGAGCAGGCGACCAGACTTGAGTAGCGTAGCAGAGTTGTGACTTGACCAGCGATAATTATGGCGTGCGCCGAGTAGACGCGTCAGTTAGTAAGGGACATGTCCGCTTTTGAAGCCCAAAGAGCTTGTTGGCTTTAGCGGTGATGGTGTTTGTATGAGAATTCCAAGACAACGTACTCGTAATTGTAACTCCTAGATCTTTTTCCGCGAACACTCGCACAAGTTGTGTGTTGTCTAGGGTGTACTCGTAAATCAAGGGGGTTTCCTTCCGCGTCACAGTAAGCGTTTTGCATTTCGAGGTGTTG